CAATCTTAATTGGCAATTTATGAAACAACAAATTATCCAAATGGAATTCGGATCAAATTTTGTCAATACGATATCCACAATCTATCAAAAACAAAAGGCTAACATATTACTGAATGGAGAATTAACTAAAGCTTTTCAAATTAGAAAAGGGTGCCCTCTATCACCACTTCTATTTATCTTAGCACTAGAAGTATTCTTGAGAAAGATTAGGAACAATAATGAAATAAAGGTTCTGACAATCAGAAAAGAGATATATAAGACACAGGCATTTGCAGATGATGTGGTATTAATCATGGAAGAACCACTAGAATCAGGCACTAAAATTCTGGAAGAATTGGGCAATTACGGGGAGGTAGCAGGCCTTAAATTAAATAAATCCAAAACTAAATTATTAACAAAAAATATGACGGAGGTAAGGAAAAAAGTACTGGAAGAATCAATAGATATCCAAACCGCCAAGAAGGTAAAATACCTGGGGGTCTGGATTTCATCAAGGTGCTCGGCCCTCAGAGAGGATAATTATTTACCATTGATTAGAAATATTAAACAGGATCTGGGAAAGTGGGGAAGACTACAGATATCATTATTAGGCAGAATCGCGGCAATAAAAATGAGCATATTACCCAAGTTATTGTATCTATTCCGAACGGCCCCTGTTAAATTAGATAAAAAATTCTTTCTGGAGCTCAATAGCATCATCAGGAAATTTATTTGGGAGGGAAAGAAACCAAGGATAGCAATTAGGAATTTACAGGACAAGAAGGAAAGAGGGGGTTTCGGATTACCTAAATGGGAGTTATATCAAAAAGCTGCAAACCTAGTATGGCTGAAAGAATGGGCAACCCTGAGAAATAAAAGACTGTTAACTTTAGAAGGGTATGATCTCCAGAAGGGTTGGCATGCATATCTCTGGGATACTGGGAAGAAGATAAAAACTTACTTCCATAGACATAAAATAAGGGAGATATTGATACAAATATGGGGAGAGATGAGACAGAAGCACTATAGGAAAATTCCGAGATGGCTTTCCACCATGGTGGCCATATAACCAAATTAAATCCAGATATAAAAAAGATAAGGAGGAATTTGGCACTGAAATGAGCATAAATGGATTTGACAAGATATGGATGGGTACGGACGACAAAATTCTAGCTAAATTATATAATTACTTATTGGAGTACGATATGGCAGAGGAAGTAGTTAAAGAACCGATGTTAGCATGGGCCAAAAATATAGGACAGAATATAAATCTGAACGAATGGGATTCAATATGGAATAATAACCTTAAAATGACAAAGGCGACGGCTTATAAGGAAAACCAATACAAGCTGTTTTATAGATGGCACATGGCCCCAGCTAGGATAGCGAAGATCTACCCCAATTCGAGCCCTAAATGTTGGAAATGTGACCATCAGCAGGGTACTTTTTATCATTGCTGGTGGACATGTAATCAGGCACAAAAATTCTGGAGGATGATATGGATGTGGATTAGAGAAATAATAAAAGAAAATTTTGATTTCGACCCAAAAGCTTTTCTCCTGGGAATTTTGAAAACTGAATATGCAAAAAAGAAAAAGTATTTAATTATACATATTCTGACAGCCGCTAGAATTTCCTTTGCCCAGTATTGGAAAGAAAAACAAATACCACCTCAAGAACATGTTATTGGAAAAATATTGGAGTGCGCCGAAATGAACAAATTGACTTCAGAAATTAATGACAGAGAAGATTCAGAATTTTATAGCGTGTGGGACATGTGGTACGAATGGATGGGGGAAAGAAATAAAGAAGGTAATAGAGATTAAATATTAACTAATTAACAAAATCTATATGAATAGTATTATATTTAGTCTTAGAGAGTTGAGCACTATTATCTTTAAGTGTTTTGAAATTAAATCTAGCTTCAAGAAACAATATCAATAAAAGACAAGTAATAATGCATGTAGATGTATATATGTATATAATTGCACCAATGAACCGAAAATGTACCGATTGTATCACTATATGTTATAATAAAAATCAAATTTAAAAAAAAAAGAAAAAGAAACAATTCTGAGACATCCAGATGAAAATATGGGAAGCATTGCAGTTTATGAGTGCAACGTTAAAAAAAGGCAAAAATGAACTCAAAAGTGACATGATTGATAAATCACTGTACAATGTTATGCTACTCTTCTGTAAAAATGAAGCAAGATACTTGTGCAATATGAAAACTTCAGTTAAAGAAAATATAACTTCACCTATAGTTACATTGGCTTTTAATTTTTTTAAAATTAATCTTTCTTTCTCAGGGGTAGGATATAGCCTCAGTGAAATGTGAAGTGAATAAAAGCTAATGCAACCTCCTGAAGTGTTGGACATAGATCCAAGTGATTATTTTTGTCCTCCTTATTTTGCACAGGAACAACAGTGAAACAATAGTCTGAATCCTCCCCAAACTCTGAAGATTCATAGGACAATAAACCCATAGTATTATAACAGTATCCACAAAAAGTGATTTATGTCTTCCATAGATGAAAAGCTCCAGATTTGGGAGATTTTGGAAGCATGAAGAGGAAGCATGAAGAAGGTCTCAAATTTTGCCTAGGATACTGAAGCAATATATAGTAAGACTGCTTAGGGCTCTGTGCTAGTCCAAGGAGCAAAAACATTAAAAGATTTCTTCAAATCTATGGAACATGCATTTGCTTGGAAGATTAAATTTCTGTTTAATCATTAAATGTCACTATTAAATTTGTTATCACATATAGCATCCATTACTGCTCTACTGCTCTTTTTGTGATTTCATTGAAAACTGAACAAGCTGGTTTTCATTTCATTTCATTCTTTGCAACTTTTCCTCTGAAATTTTGCCAGTGACATGTCTGTAATTTAATATTCATGTAAGTTGCTTTTAAAAAAGCACACAGAAAGCTTAAAAAAGGAATAATTCCCCTTCCATAAAAACAATTATGTATTTCCTTTTGAATTTTGTCTTATTTAACTAAGGCCATTTTACAGATGTGTATCAGTTTCACAAAAGCATTCCCACTTCCCCAAGAATAAGAACATTTTATTTGTTCATTATTATGTGTTTCTTTGGGTATACCTTTCTTTCTACCCATGAAACATTTAAGGCAGTTGAATACTTCTGCAGCATTCACTATATATAAATACTAGATCTATAAGAAGAGCTGCTATTATTATTTAATGATAAAGACGATGATATTACAATCTTAACCTTAAATTGGAAGGTTGGAAATTCTGAAATATTAATGTCGTCTGTAATTTTAGAATGTTGAGAAATAAAGAAGTATTTGTAATTCTCTGACATAGAAACTCATAATTTAAAGATGCATATAAAAAGCCAGCATCAATATGTGCATAATTTGTATATAAATTTTAAAGAATATTAATCTATGATTAGGTAATAAAAAATTGCTTCTTGTACTATGTTCTTAGAACTAGAACAGCAAATCAGAATCAAGCAAGGCATAATTCAGTGGTTGGGGTCAGTGGTGAAATCCTCCCCATGTCGCCAGCAGTTCACTGCCTGCGCGGTATGTGCCAGATGCACGCTGTATGCGCGCATGCGGAGTAGGCACCAAACGTACACTTCACGTGGAAAAAGGAGCTGTTTGAAGGTTATTATTATTATTATTATTATTATTATTATTATTATTATTATTATTTATTAGATTTCTATACCGCCCTACTCCCGAAGGACTCAGGGTGGTGCACAGCCAAACAATAAAAACACATACAATACAAAATTTAAAAATAGAATAAAATCAAATTAAATAATTTTGGCCCTGACAAATTTAAAACCCCAAACTTTTAAAACCAATTTAAAATTGAATATATAAAATACTAAAAGATATTTAAAATTTTTAATTAGAACAGTGAGAGGAGGAACAGCTGTGCCACGTGATTTAGATTTGCTAGAAAGCAGGATTTCCTGCTTTCTAGCAATTTTATATCACGTGGCACAGCTGATCATCGGAAATACCAGTTCAGACCAACTGGTAGCTTTTTTTTAACTACCAGTTCGCTGAACCAGGGCGAACAGGTAGGATTTCACCACTGGTTGGGGTATAATTATAAACTATGATTTGTTACAAAAAAGTAATTAAGAGAATAGAATATACACACACAAAATTTAAGAATGAGCTAACCACTACTATAACAATCATATGGTTGTTATGACTGTTCTTTTTTGTATAAGTGCATAAACCTAGATAATTTAAATTATTTATGAATGAGTAAAGAGCCAATATTCAATAGCTGAAGGCTTCCATTTCACTAGAACAGGCTGGGCTGAATTTTTTCTTATGGTGAGGAGGTGGCTTTGGTGGGATTGTGAAAAGGTTTTCTGTTAAAAAAAAAATTCTCAAAAAATTCTCAAAAATTCTCAAAATACCATGCTTCAAACTCTGAAGTACTGTTTGAAAAAGATAGAAACCTGACTGAAAGTCCAATGGGCTTATTAGCCCAGTTTCTGGACTAATGAGTCATGGTCTAATTATTGGATCTCCTGATGTTTCACCAGCAACTCTTGCTGACATCTTCAGAGGTGAAAGTGCTCATTGCCACTGAGTTGACACTGGGCATAAGTGATCCCACTTATTGAAAGTATTGCAAAACTTTCCAATGTTCGAACAAATAATCTGCACTCATGTTATTACCTAGTTTGGGTAATGAAATGTCTGCAAGAAAACAACCAAGCCGAGAGAGCACCAAGGACCCCTCATTTCAACCCTGAGCTACAAATATTCTCCTTTATTGATAACAAATAATGTTTCACATCTGAAACAGAAATTTCTGATTCAAGTTTGAAACATTCTACCCAAATAATTACATTTACATCAAATCCATCAAATTTCAGTAACCTGACCTTGGGGGTGGGGGGAAGCAAACAGTGTTGTGGGACAGAAGCCATGTGTTGCCTGCCTGCAGTGGTTTCCTATTTCACCCCATCTGGAACTGTAAAAAAGTCACAAAGAAAGAAGCACATTTCTCACCATAACCAGCTTGAGAAGGTCTGCAGCATTTTTCTTTTCCTGTTCCGTTCTTGGTTCTTTAATCATCCTTTCTTGCATCTCATCTTCTTGCTTAATGATTTTGTCAATATATTCCTAACAATGAGACAAATAAGGCATGCTACTTAACTATTTTATATATAATTTAAAATGTAAAATGTATCAAGTTGATAATAACTTTATGAAGCGAAATGTCATATATTTGTTATATCTAAAGTAGTATTTTTATTCATAGTCCTGAAGCATGTTCCTCGTGCCAGATCTATTTGGGTGAGCAGAGACAATCAATATGATCTTTTGTACATTGATCATCTCTCTTTTTATGCCTTCCATTCTTCTTGTTTTTCTTCAAATTTTATGTCTCACTTGCTCTCAACTACATTAAAACAGTCTTTTTGACAATTGTTGTCAAAATTGTTTGGGTAGAAATTCACAAGGCATTTTAGTTTTGAATACCTTTTAAATAAAAATTTTGTATTTCTGCATCCTTCCAGAATAATCTGAGTATGCTTGATTTTTAAGGTGGACCAATACATCCAGTCATAAGCACACATTCTATTCTGCTTATAGAGGAAATAAATGGATAAGGAAACAAAGAAATTATGTTGGGTTTTTGGAATATTAACACAAACTGTTATCCATGCCTAAATCTTACTATCTGTCCCAAATATACGCTCATTTCTGTTCTGGTACTTCAGCAAATCCCGCCTATCTTCTATTTGCCCTACTGTCACACATCGAAGCTGTTTCTGCCTTCCTTCCGACCATTCCAGCCCTTTCATGTACCTAATGGTTTAAATATCTTTTCAGTAGTTTCTTCCTTTACTCAAAAAAAGCAAATCATATTTTACATGAGTCACCTATTTGTATATTGGCAGACTTCACTTTACCTTGACAGAAGATTGCAATTTGTGTCTTAATACATCACTGACTGGCTCATACTGGATTAGTCGACGAATTTGGAGCACATTTGGACATTTTTTTATAGGTGCAGGAGAAACTGCTAATTCCTTGAACTCAATGCATAGGCCTTTCCAAGCATGCATTCCAAATGGAGGGCCAGGAGTCTTTCTCTGAATCCAGATGACAAAGGAAAAAGGAGATGGGTGCTTATTATGTAATTCTATTGAACTTTCTTCTACATAACAGCATATGATCAAATCAAATGTCAGCCAGAGACAGGAATGCTTACTATTTACAGAACAGGAATTATATTTCAATGTAAGTAAATTTAGAAAACTGAAATTACAACCAGTCCTCACTTACTGCAATAGTGGAATTGGCAAATTTATTGTTAAGCGGCAGAGTAATTATGCATGATGTCATGTGACTACACCAATGGCAATTCCAGTAGTGATGGTTAAGTGAAGCACCACAGGTTGTAAATTGCAATGCCATGTGACTTCTTGCAGGCTTTCCCACTGACTTTATTTATTTATTTATTATTTATTTATTAATCAAATTTCTATACCGCCCTACTCCCGAAGGACTCAGGGCGGTGAACAGCCAAGATAAACTACAGATAATACAAATATTAAAAATCCCTTAAAATTATTAAATATTTTGGCCGAAACACAGATTAAAACACCCAATTTATAAAATCACGAATTAAAAATTTAAAAGAGGAGAGTTAGGCCAGGCCAGCCTGCTGAAATAGAAAAGTTTTGAGAGCACTTTGCTTGATGGAAGCTGGCTGTTAAGGTTGCAAATGATGATCAATAGTGATAGCACTTTGGCCAATAGCAATAGCGCTCATGTGACAAGGACTGGTTGTAATTCTCTATTTTCAGCATCACTGCAAGTTTGAACAGTCAGTAAACTGTAAACAGTAAACCAGTGGTTGGTATGCAAGGACAACCTGTACTGCTTTTGAGACCAAGGTTGTTACATGATGTTGTAATCACGAGTAGATTAAAATGTGTTTTATATGTAGCTCAAATTAACAATATAAACAACGGTTCTTGGAAGATAAATAAAGAATCAGACACCACTAGTAAGAAGGACTACACTCTTCTGGTTTTCTTCTTTCAGTCATATATGCAATTGCATTACTACTGGACGAAAGAATACTACAAGAAATCACTGCATATTCCTATGATTTTTTTCTTTGTTCTTGTAAATTAGAATGTGATTAAAATTCTGAGTTTGTCAGAAACTAAACCTTTGTTTATTTCACTTATTAAGCTTCTTAGCCAACCAGATGCCAATGAAATTGGCAGAAGCGTCCATGGGTACGGTGACAATCTACAAGACAATAGAATGGGATGTGATAGTACAATCCTCATCCTTTTTGTGCATGCATGTGATGTCAACATATACACAAAAGGTGAAAAGCTCAGATTAAAAATTCATACTCGCTATCGTGCAGATTTTGACATAAACACATTCCTACAGATGCAGCTGGAAACAGGGCTTGAAAGACAAAAAGTGAAAAGAAAATGTAGTGTCACTTAAAAAATCAAAAGTGTCTTATTATAGTTGGATATTAAAAGAAACAGATGTGAAAACTATCTACCTCAACAGGAGGGAAATTTTCCCAATCTCTGGACTGGAGATTATAAGGAACAATGGTGTCAGAGTCTTTTTTCATTATCCATTGAGATACTTCAGTCAAAGGGCAAAGAACAGTAATGCTTAGGACTCCTGTTTTGAAAGATGAGAGAAAATTTGGGAATACAAGAATATACAGATAGCTGCTTGTACTGTGGAATATTTATATAAGACTACTTCTCCTTATTAATAGAAATAAATAAGTTTTAAAATCAAGGTCAACATGGGCTCCCAGTTCAGAAACTCTAATGGCTTTTCACTACCACTCCACCCTTTTCAAGCCTTAAAAAATACATAGTATGGAAAATAATAGTTGTAAACTAGATTTTAATACTATCTGATATTAAAACTACTTGGACAGTAGTCTGTGCTCCAAATTGCAGATGGTACAAAAATATTTTTATTTTTCTAAACATTCCCTAAAACAAATAGAAGGCCCATAGAAGAGTGTCAGGTATCCATAATTACATCTCAGAAATTTTTCAAAATACTCATACAACCACAGTAACCGCACCATATATTTCTGTGATATTAAAAACAATATTTGAAAATAATGTAACATAAAGGTGAAGGATTAAGAAGTCTCGCTAAATCTATTTTCAGTCCCAAAGAGTTCAACTTAAACATGGAAATGTTACTGTCAAGCATGGAAATCAGAAAACCCAGGCAGTTCAAATGAATATAAGGATTTATTGCAAGCTCTCAACAAGAATCTGAACTATTAACTGTCAAAGTAAAGAGTAAATGAAATTCAAGATGGACTGGACTTAGATCTCTTGTGAGCACAAAGAGACTCAAAACTGATGGCATGTTAGACTCCTCCCTCGGGCTCAGGCTGGTCATCTCCTATAGTTGCACTAAGTATTGCCATAGTAATATACACTGTATAGCAGTGATGGCAAACCTTTTTGGCACCGAGTGCCAAAAGGTCACGTGGAAATGTCATGTGCACGTGTGTGCTCGTTGGGACCGCGCTCCAGAAAAGCCAAACTTCCGAGTTCTAGCTTGCATGCATGGCTGACAATCAGCTGGCTGGCACGCATACGCAGGCCGGTTTTTGGCACTGCCACGTGCGCAAAGAACAGATGATTGTTGCGTGAGCATGCATGTCAGAAACCTGGAAGACAAACAGGCAAGGCAGTGTGTGCCGAGCGACATGGCTTCATGTGCCACTTTGGGCACACGTGCCATAAGTTCGCCATCACAGCTGTATAGCAAATTGGAACATTTAATAAAAATGCTAAAAGTAATTTTGAAACTACACATTAATTGTTCTTAAATGCATATATACATTTACAACAAAACTGCATCTGTCTCTAATCAGAGGAACCCTGCTTTAAGGTTTGCTTATTAACATGCAAAAATCAAATTCTGAAGTAAGGATCAGAGAAACAAGAGACATCTCTGTGAAATGGTGCATTCCTACCTGGGCATTCTTGTATTGCCTCCCGAAGAACAGTTATAGTGGGGTGACCATATGCCATTGCCAGATATTCTTCTGTATCTTTGGTGCGGAGGAGTTCAGTTCCTGAGCCATCCGCATGGACAATGAAGAATCTAGATCATCAGTCCCACAAATGAGATCAATTCAATTATGCAAAGCAAATTAAAAAAATTATTCAATAAAAATTATTTGACAAATACAATTAAGCAATATTTATGCACAACATACCTGGGTGCATGTTCCCCATATATCACAGGAGTCTGAATTTCTGTGGGTTCAGTTACTTTGCTCTCAATATCAACGGTGGGAATGAATGTAGAGGTGCTACCATCAGCCATGACCTGCAAAAGAAAAGAAATACTTTTTCTTAATTATCCTTTCCCAAGTTCCTTCTGCATACTATCCAGAGGAGAAAGTTAATAAGAGTTAGAGAATGAGACAAAGCCCTAATCAGTCTATTTTGTGTCCGATGTGGAATTAGTTGCCAGGACCAGCTCACAAGTAGATTGGCAGAGAGATAAGTGGCTGTTGCTGAGTGGGGGAGGATGTAAAAAGTGGTTTCTTTCTAATGTTCCTCAATGCTAATAGATAATGCTAAAATTATTTTAAAAAAAGAAAGAAAATAAAGCTGCCACTGCAGAGTACAATATATCAGTTCTGAAATTTCTGGAATGAGATTATCTCAAGTAATTTTGGCCTGGGTATATTAATTGTCTATATTTCAGACTTGTAAATTGATGAAATATCAATTATGGCCTAGGGGAAATGAATTTTGGATTATACAGGAGCAAAGTGTGTCCTTAAGAAAAAAATATTCACTTGTATGATATTCAAGTTAAGCATTTTTAAATATATCACAATTTATACTTAATCCATTAAGAATTTTTAAAACAAATTACATAGAAAAAAGCATTAAATAATTTGAACATTAATATTTCTATTTTACCTTGAAAATATTTCCTGTGAGGTCTGTCATCTCACAAACAATCTTGGAATTGTGTTTCATAATGTATTTCCCTACATGCTGGTTCTCATCACTGGAAATCAGTACACTATCTTTTTTTTCAAACACCTCTGGCGTGTAAACTGCTGAGTAATTTTCGTCGATGAAGAGGGAACCTTTGTTTATGGGTAAAATCTACCACAATAAAGGAAGACATTCAGAAAACATAACTTGGTCTTTAATGCTTCAGAGGTCTTTAATATTTGTAACTAGTGAGCACATTTGCAATTTACAGAATAACAGAAAAACAGAATAACCGAGTTGGAAGGGACCTTGGAAGTCTTCTAGTCCAACTCCCTGCTCAAGTAGGAAACCCTATAACATTTCAGACAAGTGGCTGTCTAGTCACTTCTTAAAAGCCTCCAGCAATAAAGTACCCACAACTTCTGTTGGCAAGACATGATTAATTATTCTGTCAGTAAATTTTTCCTTAGTTGTAGGTTGTTTCTCTTCTTGATTCGTTTCCATCCATTGTATCTTGTCCTGCCTTCAGGTGCTTTGGAGAACAGCTTGGCTCACTCTTACTTGTGGTAGCCCCTCATATTGGAACACTGCTATCATATCATCCCTAGTCCTTCTTTTTATTAAACTAGACATACCCAAATTCTGCAACAGTTCTTCATTTGTTTTAGCTTCCAGTCCCCTAATCATCTTTGTTGCTCTTCTCTGCACTCTTTCTAAAGTGCATAAAATTCAAAAGAATATTATGGATGTGTGATAGAACTATTACCATGATGTGCGCCCTTAGTCCCAAAATATCATTTTTTTAAAAAGGCCACTAATAAGCCTAAAGGAAATATAAGGAATTTGTTAGTTTATGGATAACAGGATTATGGCAACTGAGTTTTACCATGCAAAACTACTAGTTTGTACTTACTTTTATGCATCTGCTTCAAATGTATGAGGTTCAGAAAAAAATAATGTCATCAAGATATTGAGTACCAAATAAAAAAATATCTAGTTCACAGCAGACAACTGGTGAAACTCAGAGAAAGATTCACCATATTACACAAGATTAAGAAAACAAAACATACACCAGGTCAAAATAAAACCACTGGCAAAACATACACTATACCAAAAACATGCAAGTCAGCTAAAATGAAAACAAGGAAAAACTTCTATATAAATACACTAAACAGATACAATATAAATATCCAGTAGATATTCCTTCTAGCTGTCTTAAAAGCATTCTTGCAAATAAAGACTGTGTTGGAAGCTACCGTACCTCCTCCTAGTATGGCATTTACAAAGAAATCTAGTATTATAAGAGGAGTGTATCTATAAGGCACTATAGGAAGCCTGCCTGCAATCAGGAGTAATCACTTATTTGGCATAATTCTCACTCTTTGTCTGTGTATGTGCTTGATTCTAGAGTAATCATTTCACCAGCTGTATATTAATTGCTTTGCATAGCAATGGTTAGTTTGAGTCACTTAAATTGGAAGCAGTGAAACAACTAGAACACTGGAGTTTGAACCTCAACAGATCTTAATTTCCAACTAACCTGGTATGTTCCTTGTGGCTTGGATATAACTGAAGTGCCATCAGCAAAAATGGCACAACAAGTGCTGTCCTCTGAGTTTGTTAGGACTGTTGCAAAGTGTGGGTTTTCGATACGCATGCATTTCACCTTCCTTGTGATGGTTTGAGGGTAACTTTCTATGAAAGAAAAGCCAACTCATGTTAAAAAAGCATTTATATTGAACAATGTATGTTTGTGGAAGAAGACAAAAGTTTTCTCTCAAAAACAGGCTAATTTAATCTTATTCCTTTTTGGACTATAATCCAAATGATCAAGAATTATTGGAGTTATACTCCATCGTTTGGAGAGAAATATTGTGATGAAATAATGCTTTTGGAGAACTTCTCATTTGTTCAACTTGTTAACGATGGGAACAGGAGCATGGAGGAGGTGCAGCCTGAGTGCCTTGTTAACGATGAGAACAGGAAATGGCTGAGGAAGTAGCCTGAGCATGGTGGAGAGGCTGCTGCAGGGCCTGTGAGGGTGGGCAGATGGCTGGGGAGATATGGAGTGTGCAGTTTTAAAAAATAGAAATAGGCAATCACCAAATATTATGATTGCTTGGGATAGTTTTAAAACATATATTTAGAACTTTTGTTATCCATTCTACAAATATATTCCTACCACCACTGGGAGAACTTAGATCTCGGAACAGAGAAAATATTAAAGATGGTTTTTTGAAAAGGATGCTAATAAAGATGCTATTGTAAATTTTCACCTTGATTTTATGATTATAAAAACACAGAAGCCTCTCCCAGTACCCTGTTAACATAACATAAATGTTTCATTGAGAAAGATTTTAACATCCCTTCATCTGTAGACCATGCCCCCACATATCTTGAACGAAGATTTTGTAAGCTCCCTGTGAAACAACACCTCCATCCTTGTAGTGCTGGCCAAGTGGAGGACATTATCTATTATATTTTCCATTGCCTTATTTACAATGAAATCAGGGTCAAATGGTAAATGAACTCAAGGGCCCTGACCTTGAAAAACTGAATTATCTCCTTGTAGATGTGTTTCCAACTGTCAGCAAACAAGTGGCTACTTTTGCTAAACTGTCATTTAAATTTAGAAATAAATATTTAAGTTCTTAGTTGTAACTTTGGCTTTATTGTATTGTAACCTTTTTACATCTAATACTTGTGTTACTCTATTGTATAGTTTTATTGTTTTATTGTTATTTTATTGTATTTTATGGCATTCCTATGTTATGATCTATGGTTACAACAATCTTTCTTATATACTTACTTAATATATTTAGGATTGGATTATTGAATATGCAATATGAAAAAAATAATAATCAGAATTCCCTGAACTTTAATATACATTATTTGGACCTGCACTTTGGTTGTCTCTTTCTTGTTTAATATTTGTATTTTTATCCATAAGGTATTGAGAAAAGAACTACGTTTTAAATATATGAACCTCATGTGCAATCATATTTGTAAATTATTTGGAATTTGTCAATTTATGAGAAATCATGGGTATATCAAGTTTGAGCATTGTGGAGAATACATAAAGTATGAATAAAAAAACTAGAACACCATATAAAAAATTCCAAATTGAAGAAGTGTATTTATTTTCATCTTTCATGTGGTTTTTTATAGATGCAAAATGGAAAGTGTTAAATGTGATTCCATGTGGTAAAGGTTTAATCTGCTGTTCAAAATATGGCATAGTATTTTATTGTTTTATAGTAATTTTTGTTTCTCTATGTTTTTCCTTTATTTGATTCTGTATTTATAGCAGCAAAACAATATTTAACAAAGTTAAAAAGAATAATATAAACCATGCCTGATTAACTGGTTCCTGCAACTGATCTTGACAATGGAATAAAAATCATCTCTGCGTGTGTGTGTGCGCGCGCATGATATAATGTGCATAAATTCTTTAATCTGATGCAAGTATTACAATGCATGTGGTGAACAGACCAAAAGCCAATCTTTCACACAGACAAATAAGTATGTAAAATAGCTTATTGTACTTTGAATTCCCTGATTTGAAAAATAAGTTTTTGAACAAATAAGTAAATACTTGAAGTTTTTCTCCAATTTGAATTTTAATCTTACTGAAATACTTCCTTTCTTACCTCCCAGCCACATACTCAGGTACTTGTGAGGTGCTACAGGAGAAGACATTTAATATTTTTTTAAAATTAGGAAAAAAAAGAGTTCCCAAATTAATAACTGCCAGCCTTAATAATAAATGAAATAGGAAGTTTTTTGTCCACCATTAGGTTCTGCATGTTGCAAATAAATTGGAGAATTTGATCATCATAAATATTTGGCAAAAGCATAGTACGAAGAAAGCAGCTATGAAGAACATTAATAGCTATAGCTCTCAATGTGATTTATTTATGCACCACATCTGCAAGAATAAGTGAAAAGCCAGGAATTGTTCTTGTTGACTAATCTTATATATAGCCTCAATTTTAGATGAAGAATCTACCGGTATATAAAGAAATGAATTAACTGCACTTAATCACTGAAAAGTGATTAAACTCATATTTTTAGAAATATAATAATTAGAAATTAAAGCCACAAGTATTTGAAATTATCAACCACCTCTCTTACATTAACATATTACTATCTAGCAAGGATACCTGCTTCTTCACTGTCATTAGGAGAAACAATTTCCACACAGTCCTGGAAGAGGGTGCTTATTCTGGTGCCATCAGCATGATCTACTATTCGGGATCCATCTGGTTTCTCCACTATTAATACTTTATCTTCTCTCATTACCATTACCTAGAATATCACATTATTAATGAAGTGTCACAAATGGATTAAGTGCTCAGCAAACATGTCAGAATGTTTAAATACAAACATTGGAAATGTAGATTTGATCTTTTAAATTCTGAAAATGGATTGTATCACTTATAAAGGCATCAGAATACTGAACTTATAAACAAAACAGTACCGTTCCATTAACTGGATCAGTGGCCTGGTAAGACAAGAGTGGTTTCAGGTCAAGCTTTTCGATTCCCTTGGTACCTATCTGAATGCCTAATGGGGTAGTCGTTATCCAGGTGCCAGCAAAGGCATCAGTAGATTGTTCAGGTTCAGGCAGATGTTCTTCAGCAATTGTTTCAATAGCTTCATTTTTTCCTGAAAGCAGACCTTTAGTATTTTTTCCTAGAAAATCAGAAGAAAATGTGATTTATTCATACACTGGGATAACATTCTAAATATTTCATTACGTAAAGGACAGCTAAAGTGCTAGCATGTATTTTTCCAATTAACCATCTAACCACAAAACATGAGCATTGGAAGACTTATCCCTTTCATTGCTACTCTTTGATTGTCAAAAGACAGAACTGTTTTTCATTAAACCTACCTACTCCTAAAGACAAGGATACAGACACAGAAATTGTTTGTAAGAAAATCATAACCAGAGATTTTCAGCTCCATGGAATCCTATGGCTCCATGATAGATCAAGAGCAAAATAATAATAATAATTTTCCACAGACAATTTAGATTCTGATCTCGAAATCTTTGACTTCCAGACTCAAGACTCAGGACTTTTAAGAAGAGATTTGTTTCCAAGGATTCTTGAGGGATCTGGGATTTTTTTTAGCCTTTCAGTTGTCAGCCTATTTCTTTGGAGAGGAATAGTATTGGGTAAATGCATTTTACAGCTGTTTGAGAATATGTGACATTATTTTTATAGAGGCACAAATATTGAACATGATTCTTTGCATTATGGATTGAACAGCTTATCCTAGAGAACAATGTGATATAATATATTACATAAAGTACTATAATTATCCAGCATTATATTATTTTACCCGATAACATTTATTTGTTTGTTTGTTTGACTTCTTCAGCTTCAGTCCTGGATTATATGACTTACTGCTTTTTTTGGTGTTTGTCTCCAGAGTGGGTGTGATCTCTGTATGAGGTGTGCTGGGTGGAGGTGGAGGTGGGATCACAGGGCCAGAATCAGGACTCCTAATCACTGTGCCATCAGCAAAGAGTATCTTAAAACAGCAAAGCAAAATGTGACGTTGATCAGCTACAAAGATATGCAGTATAGCAGATATAGTACTATGTTCAGATAAAAAAATGACCAAAACATGTAAAAAACTCAAAAAGTTTTATATTTGGATTAAACATTTCTACAGACTTATATTTACATTTGTATAAAACAGTTCTATAGATTTCATCTATAGGTCCCTTCCAATTCTGTTATTCTGTTAAATCTCTACTCAATAATTAAACTTCCTCAGTGGCCACATTTCATACTGAAAAATGACTGAAACCATTTGGAAACATTAGCAAAGCTAATGTTTCGCTTCTCCATGTGCATCTAAGCCAAGAGAAAAATAATTATTAATACAGAAAAAAAAACATACCATACAGGGATTTATATTCACACATTGATAATACCTTATCATTATTTGAGGCGAAGTCTATTTAATTAAGGTTTTATGATTCAATCAGGATTGAATTCAGTAACAAAAAGTGAATTTACATTCAACGCTAAATGAATATACCTGAGTGGATCCATCGATCATGTACTTTACAACAGTCCCTTGTCGTGTTATTACTCTGGATACTTCTTGCTCTATTGGTTTCTTCACTGTTTTGTGAAGTTGCAACTGTTTTACTTTTTGTGGATAACTCTGCCTAATAAATATTTCAAAAGGAGATTCCTTGTCCATATTGTTATCCTCTGTTTCCATCTCAGCCTTGCTGGCAGTCTCATTCCTCATGGTGAGATCTGCTCCAGAGTCAACACTGGCTTTGGCATTCATTGTCTTGTCTCCACTGTCTTTAGCTAGGGGTTCATGGGGCTGAGCCTGCTTTTCTTTGCTGTCCTCTGTTTTGATTTCTTCCAGCTTGCTTTCACCTGATTTAGTTTCATCTGTTTTGCTTTCTTCATCATCGTTCTTGTCTTTCTCTCCTTTTTCCTCACCTTTTAGATATCAAAAGAATTTTGTTAGTCAGTTAAAATGATTACAGTAACAGAAGTATATGGAAACTTATGGGCTTACCAATGTTACAAAATGTTAAATCCAGTAAGTACGATACAAATACTGACCCAAATGTATGCTTATACCTCATGGTATGAAAGGTCAGTCAGAAAGGAAAGGCAGTAATTCCAATTTTTAAATGTACACTACAAATGCTCTATTCATATCTATTTTAATCCTGCAAATTAATATTTTTACCATTAGTACCATTAGCTCTACTTGTTACCACAAATTTAATAGAATGCCACCACAGTAAAATCAAACTCAAGTCTTTTCAGCAATTAAATGGATATAACATTTTTTAATTGCAGGGAAAACCGTCCCAGGCCAGAATTCTATCTGATTTAGAAGATAAAATGTGAATTTTTCCTGATTCAGATATCCTTAGATATAAATTCATTCTAGCTGAATTGGGGTACTTTCCCATTCAGAGCTTTAGTAGAAAATATGTCACCATCTCCACATAGTTGAACTAAAAATCTGAGTAGATACCGGTTCATCATAAGTTTACTATATTTCCTGCTTGTTTTCAGTTTGCTTACCAAAGGATATTTTAGTCACTAAAACTAATATTGCTTTTTGCGTGGACTAAAAAGCTTCAAGAAGTAATATAAGAGCTTTCATTACCTAACCCTGATGGAACATTAACAGCACAATTGTTTTTGTAAAAAAATGTTTATTCAACCAACCTGAAAATTTTTGACCAATAAAGGTAAGTACCAATCCATTGGGAGAAGACACATTCAAAGTATTGAAAACATGGGTTTCAGGAACAGCTTTGGTTTGGATTGGCTCATTTCTTTCCATCTATAGTATGCAAAAAAAGCAAAAAATGCTAATGTATTTAAAAGCATTTACAAACATTTCAGCTCTCCACAGTGGTTAATAGCTTTAAAGATTAATAGAATAGCGCACCACTACATAAAATCTCTTTGAAAAGTTTTTGTCAAGTATTAATTTAATTTTAGTGTTAGCAAAGGCACTTAAATACTTTGAGAATAATTTTATTTATTTATTTATTTATTTGTTTAAATTTCTATACCGCCCTTCTCCAATGTAGGACTCAGGGCGGTGAACAGCCAAAGTAAAAACAAGACATACATACAAAACATACAAAATCTAAAATCTGTTTAAAATAATTAAATAATTTTGGCCGTAATTAAAACATTCCAATTTAAAATCCGTTTAAAATTTGACTCAAGCCAGCCCAGCTAGTTGAAATAAATGGGTTTTTAGGGCCCGACGAAAAATCCGGAGGTCTGTTATTGTACGTAGCTCTGGGGGGAGGTTGTTCCAGAGGGTGGGCGCCGCCACAGAGAAGGCTCTCCCCCTGGGGGTCGCCAGCCGACATTGTCTGGCGGACGGCACCCTGAGGAGGCCCACTCTGTGGGAGCGTACTGGCCGGTGGGAGGCTATTGGTGGCAGAAGGCGGTCTCGTAAGTACCCCGGCCCTAAGCCATGGAGCGCTTTAAAGGTGGTCACCAACACCTTGAAGCGCACCCGGAAGACCACCGGGAGCCAGTGCAGCTCGCGCAGGAGAGGTGTCACGTGGGAGCGCCTCGTCGCCCCCAAAATCCCCCGCGCGGCCGCGTTCTGGACCAGCTGGAGCCTCCGGGTGCACCCCAGGGGGAGCCCCATGTAGAGAGCATTGCAGTAGTCCAGGCGGGAAGTGACGAGTGCCTGAGTGACTGTGCGTAGGGAGTCCCGATCTAGAAAGGGGCGCAACTGGCGTATCAGGCGGACCTGATAAAAAGCCCCCCTGGCCACGGCCGCCAAATGATCTTCTAACGACAGCCGTGCGTCCAGGAGGACGCCCAAGTTACGAGTTCTATTGGTTCTGGATTCTGTGCTTGCCATAGTATCCTAAGTATTTTTTTATGTAATACATTTTTTTAAAAAAAATGTTTACTGTAACTTGATATGGTTGCTTGGCTGCAAAGCACAGACCATTTCCAGCTTACAACCACTGCAACATCCCCATGATCACGTGATTGACATTTGGATGCTTGACAACTGACTCATATTTATGACAGTTTCAGTGTCTTGGGATCACGTGATCACCATTCACGACCTTCTGACAAGTCAATGGAGAAACCAGATTCACTTAACAACCGGGCTAATTTAACAACTGCAGTGATTCATTTAACAAACGTGGCAAGAAAAGTCATAAAATGGGGCAAAACTCAACAAATTTCTCACTTAAAAACATAAATTTTGGGCTTAATTGTGATCATAGGTTGAGGACTATCTGTATGTAGGAAACATACCACAGTAATGGGGGACTTTTAACTACCTTGACATCAACTGGGAGACAAACTCTGCAACAAGTAGGAGATCAAACAGGCTCCTGACCAATCTAGCTAACAACTTCATCACCCAAAAGGTAAAGGAGGCAATTACAGGGACAGCTATACATTTACCAACAGAGAAGAAGTGATAGAGGGGATTGAAGTTGCAGGAATTTTAGGGGAGAGTGACCATGTCATATTAGAATTCAATATAAAACAGACACAACCAACAGAACATAATCAAACCAGCATCTTAGACTTTAAAAGAGCTGATTTTAACAAACTTAGGAAGGATCCCATGAATGAAAACCTTAAAGGGGAAATCAACTCAAGCTTGGAAAACTCAGAAAAATACAATTATGAAAGCCAGTCCAGTTCAATGCCATTAAAAAAGAAAACCAAGAAAAAGCCAGCATGGTTGCACAAGGAACTCTCAGAGCAACTAAGAGAAAAAAAGGATAAGTACAAAAAATGGAAAGAGGGATACTAGGAAAGCTAAGGCTTTCAATGAAGTAAGACTTGCAACAAAGATCAAAAACAATTTTTAAACAGTTTCTTTCAACTCATAAAAATGAAGAAAAAAGTCAGTGAAACAATAGCTTCATTAATGGGAGAAGATGGCAAAGAAGTAATGGGGAGTAGAAAGAAAGCAAAACTGCTTAATTCATACTTTGCATCTTTCTTCATGCAAAAAAACTCCACTACTTATTAAAAACAGAACTGTAGCTGACAGGTTAAGAATGCAAATTAAAATATGCAAAAATAAGGTAAGAGAACACCTGTCAGCTCTAGATGGATTCAAATCACCAGATCCTAATGACTGAGAATCTCTACAGACTTTTAGCTATACAATTTGGGATGAACACTATTTGAATGGTGTGGGAGTAGGAATGGATTTCCAGAGAAAAAAATTGCAGACTACAAGAACCATCAGCACTACTAGGGGGACACAGATAAACCTCCAAATGCTTCAAAGACCTCTAAAACAGGGATGTCAAACTCGTGTCATCATGGCTGCGTCACGTGACGTATCGGGACTTTTTTCCCTTTTGCTAAACTGGGCAGGGGCAGTGACACATCTGGCCCACAAGCCACGAGTTTGATACCCCTGTTCTAAAAGGATGCAAATGATCAGCTCTCTGTAAGAAATATAAATCCTTCCATTCCCCACTATTCTGTCACAGCTGAAGAAGCTTCTTGGATGGAAAGCAAAATATCTTCAAAGAAAAAGCAGAAAAGTCCGGTTGCCTCCTGAAAAAAGTACCTTTGGGACATATCTTTCAAAGTTCTTGGAACCCTGGAACACTACCTGAGGACTGGAAAAGAGTTGATGTAGTTCCCATCTTCAAAAAAAAAAAAAAAAGGGGGGGGGGGGAGAAACAGATCCAGGAAATTACAGACCAATCAGCCTGACATCAATACCTGGGAAGATCTTGGAAAAGATAATCAAGCAACAAATCTGCAAACACCTAGAAGCAAACAAAGCTATAACCAGAAGACAACATGGTTTCATCAAAAACCAATCATGCCAAACAAATCTTATTTCATTCTTTGACAAAGTGACTAAATTAGTGGATCAGCGAAATGCTGTCAATATAGTATATTTAGATTTCAGTAAAGCATGTGCTAAAGTAGAACACAACCTACTTCTCGGCAAGCTAGAAAAATGTGAGATAGAGAGCATCATCACCAGATACGTTTGTAACTATTGATGAATCGTACTCAACATGTAATCCTGTTGAGGAACTATATCTACATGGAGAGAAGTAAGTAGTGGGGTATTCCATTTTAGGCCCAGGACTCTTCAATATCTTCATAAATGAAGATATTCCCTAGATGAGGGAATAGAAGGGGAACCCATCAAATTTTCAGATGGCATTAAGTTGGCAGGAATAAGCAACACCCCAGAAGTCAAACTCAAAATCCAAAAAGATCTTGACAGACTTAACACTGGGCCCTATCTAACAAAATGAAATTCAACATAGATAAAAATAAGGTTACACACTTAGGCAAGAAAAACCAACTGTATAGCTACAGACTAGATGAAATTTGGCTTAATGCCAGTAACTGAGAGGCATCTTGGAGTTCTATTGGACAATCACTTAAATATGACTCAACTGTGTGCAGCAGCAGCAAAAAGGCCAATGCAATCCTAGGCTACATAAACAGAGAAATAGAATCAAGATGACATGATGTTCTAGTACTGATTTACAAAGCCTTGGTAAGACCACACTTGGAAGACTGCATCCAGTTCGGGTCCACCACAATATAAAAAAGATGTTGAGATTATGGAAAAAGTGCAAAGAAGGGTGACAAAGATGATTAGGGCACTGGAAACATAAGACAAACGATTGCAGGAATTGGGCTGTTTAGTCTAGTGAAAAGAAGGACTAGGGGAGACTTGATAGCAGTGTTTCAATATTTGAGGGGCTGCCACAAAGAAGAGGAGAGTCAAACTATTTTCCAAACCACCAAAAGGCAAGACAAGAAACAATGGATGGAAACTAACCAAGGAGAGAAGCAATTTAAAACTAAGGAGAAATTTTCTAACAGTGAGAGCAATCAACCAATGGAATAGCTTGCCTTCAGACCTTGTGAGTGCTCCATCACTGGAGCCTGGACAACCATTTGTCTGAAATGATGTAGGGTCACCTGCTTCAGCAGGGGGTTGGACTAGACGTGCCTTCCAAGCCTGTTATTCTGTTCTATTTTCTACCTACACCTGCTTTGGGCAGGGGGTTGGACTAGAAGACTCCAAGCCCCTTTCCAGTCCTATGATTGTATTCTATGAAGTATATTCATACCTTTTTCTCTTCTTGCACTGGAGAGTCTTCAGGTGATACATTCATTGTCGTACGGGAACTCATTTTGGCAGATGGTAAGGATTTGGCTGATTTTTCTTTACCTGGCTTTGCCTTTCCTGTAGCAGGAACTGCAGCGGCAGAAAAAGCCGAGGAAAGAAAAGTCGAAGTGGGCAAGTTTACTGATGGGATAGCCAGAATAGTTGCCAAATAAGGATCCGTTTCCTCTGTAAGGGAAATGGGTTATTTTGATGAAACAGAATAAACATTACATACATCAAAAATGTGCAGCTACTTCTAGATCAAGAAATGTCCTTTGAGTGATATGCCAGGAGCTGTATTCCAAAATAGCAATAGATGAGCCAAGACAAAATCTACACTTGATTTCATTTCATTTACATTTAAATAAAATGGAATGAAATTACTATATGTAATAGCTCCCTAGGCAAGTATTTGAATTTGTTCACCTTTCATGTTAAAATTATAAATTGGTAACAACGTTTGTACCTTGGCAAACATGTTAGAAAAATGTTTTTAATCAGTTGAAAGGCAAACGACATTAGCTAAAGCCTTATAGTGATTCTGTGGTCTATGTTTATCTTATCAGTTATAATCTGGATGCATCTGTTTAACCCTGGACAGAAACCAGGATTGGCTTTTGTTTTGGGTTGTCTAAAGCAGTGGTCCCCAAAGATTTTGGCACCAGGAAGTGGTTTCACGGAAGACATTTTTCTTGAACTGGATAGGGGGGAGGGGGCATGCAATCTAAATCCCTCACATTTGCAGTTTACAGTAGGATTCACCCTCCTATGAGAATCTTATGCCTGATGATCTGAGATGGAAGCAGAGGTGGTGATGGGGAGCAGCTGCAAATACAGATGAAGCTTCACTCACTCACCTACTGCTCACCTCCAGCTGTGCAGCCTGGTTCCTAGCAGGCCACGGGGTTTGGGACCTCTGGTCTAAAGGGTTTGACGCCAAGAGCAGAGTTTCAGTGGAACTAACTCAGGAATGAACAGTAATTTAGATCTATCTGGATTACTCTTTATTTTTACAAGCTATCTGTGTAGGTTAGGCTGGGCTGCAAAAGAACAGGACTCATGAGAATTTGGAAAATCTTGCTCAATCAAATAGAGAAAGGATTCTGTTTCTCTTTAGCAGACATCTGAGATCAGCCACCAAACATTTCTCACAAAAAAACAGGATAGAAATACATAAACAACTTGTATTTGAATATGTCTTTTGACTCTCGTTTTTGCTTTGCTACAAATTTATTCATGAGAACAAATACAGAACAGAATTTTAAGAAATTCCCAGGAACTGTGTGGATTCTAAATAACACTTTTGAGAAGAAGCTAAAAATCCATTATGAGGTAATGCCTACTGTAAAAATTGTCTTTCAACATAGCATAGTATAGAACAAGTGTGACAAAGAATATATAAATATTTTCCTTTTCTCATGTTTTACCTTCTGCTTTTCCTGAAGCCCCATAACAACTAAAGGAAAGATGGATTTCATTTTCTAAGGTTGCAGAAAATGATCCAAATTTGCTCAGAGGTTTTCCTTGATTAATTGGTTTTTCTAAAATAAAGGAAAATGAATATTTATGTCTAAATATTTAACAAGTATTACAAATGTAGCTATTATTTCTTGATGAACTGGACACTGACTTTTGGTTCACTCACTGATAGTTCACAAAAAAAATATTAAATTACCATATTTTTTGGTCTATTAGACATACTTCCCCCCCAAAAGTGGGTGGAAATGTCTGTGCATCTTATAGAGCGAATGCTGATGAAGCCTCACCCACCCGCTGGCCCCCACCCTTCAGATATTTTTGGCCTCCGCATGCCCCGTTTTCGGCCTGTTCCAGGTGGCAGGATCACCGCCACTGCCACCTCTTATCACCGCCTATCACCGCTGTTCACCGCCTGGAATGGCAGCGCATGGAGACGATGATAGGCAGCAGCAATCCCCACAGCCTTTAACAGCTGATCAACAGTATTCCAGGAGGCTGATCCAACTGCCAATCAGCTGCTTGTGGTAAATCAGGCTGCAATGACGTGCTGAAGCTGACCAGGCTGTTTGCTGTTTGCTGATGCTAGCCAGATGAATACCGATGGATGCTGGGAGGCAGAGGCAGATTTTTTTTCTTGTTTTCCTCCCCAAAAGCTAGGTGTGTCTTATGGTCCAGAGCATCTTATAGTGCAAAAAATATGGTAGGTAAAAAAAGCTTCTCTCAACTGTTAGAACTGTTAGAATTCTGAAGCTTTATTAACAATACTGAGGTTCTAAATGAAGAGAACACTAAGAATGTGATTTGGGATTGACTCATTTTTGAAGAGAAACCATTTCAGAAGCAGCCTTGTTTTGTAGGAGCCACTTATTTGGATACAAAGTATTATAACTACACAAATTTCCGTACAGTACTAGTATAGAATGATTCGAGATTCTGGATGATAGGACATAGTTTAGAGCATCAAGGTAAAAATCTGTCACAGAAAAATTACTGCAATAAGATAATGTTTCCAGGCAGAGATGGGCTTCACATAATTTAACAACCGGTTCGCCTAGTGCAGAACCGAATATGTGAGCGTGTAGCTTCAAACACACAGAGATTTCATGTGTGTGGCTTCCAGCACACCTTCTTGGCAGCCGTGGTGAGTAGAGCGGGCAAGGCGTGGCAATAAGTTGGGCTGTGTGGGCAGAGCGAGTGAGCCAGAGAGTGAGATATATCAGACGGGATAGTGGCGGGGTGGATGGGCGGGCCCAGCCGGTGGTTGGAACTACCAATTTGCCCGAACTGGTCCAAACTGGCAACAACCCACCTCTGCTTCCAGGCAGAGTCCAAAACACCTGGATTCCTTTAGTCTCCACTCAAGCAAAGCTGAAGTTAATTGGTTACTTGGCAAAGCCTTAGCAGGGCCTCAGTGTTTCCCCAAACATTTGAGGGTTTCTCTGCCTTGCCTCCCTTCTCATGCATCAGCATTCACATGAACTTGGCTGCCCTGATTCAGATCCAGAATTCAAGTCTATGTAAGTGTGGCCTAAAAATAATGATGCCTTTTAATAAAGCATATAGCAGCTAGTTCAAAAATAATTAAAACCATTTATTATACACCCCTCCCCCCAATAAAATTAATTCTGGAAATAAGCAACATTAAGGACAGCTAAATCTAAGAATAATTTGGTCTCCAATGAAAACAGTAAGGAAATTAAAGTTGGAGACAGTCCCATATCTTGAAAGATTGCATCTTCCATCTAAATTGGCTGCTTCCAAAGGCATCCACAAGATTAATCTCTCTCTCAACCAAACTCACTTCACAGGGCTGTTGTTGAGGGGAAAATAGGAAGAAGTATCAGATATGTTTGCTGTTTTGAGTTATTTATAAAAATAAGAAAGGCAGGATAAAAAAAACTAAAATCAAATAAAAATTTGCTTCTCTGAACATAACATTTAAAAGTCATGCTTGCTTGATAAGTGAATCAAAGAAACTGCAATGAATTATGGATTTTGCTAATCAAAGGAATGGTTGCACACAAAAAGAGAAGCATGCATTTCTGAAGCATTTTTATGAATAATGAAACCATGATTTGGTCATTTATAATTACCCAAATGAAAATTTTAAATAGTTAGTATTCACTCAATTACCTGGCTTTATCTCATGTTCTTCTGGGGAACCCAGACTTTCTTCTTCACTTTTACATTCTATTACGCTTATCTGGGGATCTATTATATGAATGAAGAAACTGTGATTATCTTTTATCACCTTCACTTTAACTAAGGTTGACCCTAGAAAACAAAAACAAATTAATAACTAATATCAGAATGGGTAGTCATGATTCTAATGTTAAATAATCGATATAACAATTACATTATACAGATTGCTAGAAAATTTGTTGAAGATCTAAGAATCTATCTTCTGAAGTTAGACATAGCTTCCTAGTTATTAACTTATCTAGTATAATCTTTAAAGTAAGATACATAAAGTATATAAGTATAATTTTCAAAAACAGAGTGAAAACAGAATTTTCTTAAAATTATATTTTAATTAAATTTATTTGTAGATACATAAATATCCCCTTAGAATTCTTATATCAATAATTAACATCCTCTGTCTGGCATATTAATTTTGATTAGTGATGTGAAATAATTTTTAAATAGCACTTTAGAATTTAATAATTTTAAATATTAGAATTCAAAATATTCATATCAAGATGCCACATCTATTGGGTTATCTGTTGGTGAACTTCCTTAAATGTATGCTTTTTTGCATTTAATTTCTTCTAATACATTTTATGTGCTTAATTAATTAATTAATACAGCTGAGATGGACTCAGTTAAATACAGTAACATGCCACTTTGTCACATTACAATTGTTCATTTTATGTTAAAGCAAGACCTATTGAACATAGCTGGCCTTAAGACCCTATGTTACTCCAGTACCCCACCCTCAGTCCTCACTATTTTATTCTCATAACCAACTGACTTATGAGAAGCCAAAAAGCAGTATGTAGGTGGAATTTCATCTTCCAGCATGTTCTGCAACAATTACTTTTGAGAAGTGTTTTGCCTACAATGTGAAAATAGTATCTAGCCTGCGTGGCTATAGTATTAGTCATAGACAGTCTTATTCTCCAATTAATTTAATTTCTGACTAAAGTTTCAGGATAATGTTTATACTGTGTGACAAGCATATAAACATGCATTTCAATGTCTAATAGGGAACCTTCACAATATGAAAAAAAAATACCTTTTTCAAACATTATATTTTCTGCCTGGATTTGCCCTCCATCAGTAGGGAAAAGATACTGGATAGTCCCTGAAACCTGAATGGGATTCTCACCCATATTATATCCAAGAAACTAGAAGAGAACAGTTATAGAACAATATATAATCAAATTAAATAGAAGTAATGGGGAAAACTGGGAATCTCTAACAAACCAAATCAGGAAATATGGTTTATTTTACTGAATTAAGCTTTGGAGGCCCAAATCCTGAGAATTAAAAATGAAAATAAAATTAAAATTTGGAATGGTTGCCTAATTGATTTCTGTTCTTTTTGCAGATCTGATAGTTTCACATCGGTTTAGGCCAGGTATGGGTGAACCTTGTGGTCCTAAAGCAAAACAGAAAAATACAAATGAAGCTTTTCAGACTGAAAGGATTTGTTGACTTATGAAGTCGGTCTTGCTTCCAGAAGAAGAAGAAGAAGGTCCTAAGGCAAGGGCCTTCCTTGGGAAGGCCCTTGCCTTATACTTCTTGTATAGGTTTTGGCAACAAAGCTTTTACTACTTTCTTGGCTACTGAGATACTGTATGTTCTGCAAGGCTTCTAAATGATGCTAAGTGGAGGAATCATCTGTCTAGGGCAGTGTTGGCGAATCTTTTTGGCACCAAGAACCGAAATGGGAGTGTGCGGACGTGCAGGGGAGCACCAGAAACCGAAGAGCAGCTCCCCAGTGCACATACGTGTGATGGTCACCTGGTCTTCAGGTTTTTGGATCTTCTGCACGCATGAAGATCAGCTGGCCAGCGTGTATGCATGCATCGGAAACTGGTGGTGGAACCCAGAAGAGCAACGGGCAACGGCTGGCATGCCCGGAGAGATGGCTCTGTGTGCCACTTTCGACACACGTGCCATAGGTTTGCCATCACTGGTCTATGGTAAAAAAAAAACACCTTGCAACAATTGCTGATTATTTACCAGGCATTATTTCAGGTGTTGGTATTCACATTAAAAGTGGAACTCTACATTCCTTAAGACCTATCTAAAAACCTCCTGTTATGGCAGAACCGGGCCGAACAGGGAGGAACCCACCACTATAAGGGCCAAACCAACAATTAAATAACCAAAATAATACAGAATAAGTAATAAAATGCCACAGTTTGCTACTTTTCTGACATCTGAAATTCCTAAATATTGCTGGCAATTAACTAAAGACAGAGCATAGATTCTACTATGAGAATTTATAGGGATAACAAAGAAGGCCACACCAGAATATTGCTGGGGCACATTGACTGTGTAAGAAAATCCAGGCTTCAGACAAAACATTATCACTGAAGACTTCTTGAAAGATCCACCTATTATTTGAACCTTGCAATACCCAATAACTATTTTTTCTAGTATTATTTTCCAATAATTATTTCCAGCAATTTATGCAATCATTAACTGATTCACCTCATAGTCTTTCTCTGCAGGCAAAGGAGGCATAGTTTGTTTACTCTGTTTCTGCAACTTGGCCTGATCTTCAACCTCTATTGATTTGGATGATTCTGCTTTATCCTTAGAACCCTTTTTCTTAGATGGTTTTCCTTCTTCAGGAATGGGTGGCTCTTTACCCTGGCCTTTCTTTTTCCCATCAGATTTTTCCTTCTTCTCTGCTTTTTTTAATTCTTTTAAGCGTTCTTCCTCCAACAGCCTGTCTTGCTCTTCCTTCCAGGCCTACAGTAGAAAAAGGAAAGTTCAGAGTCAGACCTAACATGAAATGTGGATTTTAACACAACCAAGCAATTTGGGTTTTGCCCCAACAATCTTATTCATTATTGAACATGTTCTTTATTTTTCTCTTTAGAAAAATTGCTATTTTAGGCAATTGTAGCAAGCAATATGATTATTTGCTTACACTACATTTCAACTACCAAATGATTTTAGATGCTACTATAACATACATTATTTAATACTGCATCAAAGTAATATTATTATGATCCTAACTGCTAATTTCATATATATTCTTATATTTCAGCTACATAAATAGAGGAATACATGGTATTCAGTAGGAATCAGTAGTTACCTTGAGAGATTCATCTCTGACAAATATATTTTTTTCCTTCTCAACTACAGGTTCAGATGAAACTTCTACTTTACTTTTGGAAGAACCTTTGAAATTTGAGAAAGCATAGATTATAACTATATCATATAATATGAGAATATTACATAAATGGTATGTGAGTAAAATAATCCCAAGTGTTAAATATTTTAAGTAAACAAAAATCTGACTCTATAGGAAGACATTTTCAATTAAATCTCCTCCCAAAAGCACTTTCCACTGATGGAAAGAGAAATATCTACTTTTCCATCTGGCCTAAAGTTGACTTTAGAAAAGCTACTCTCTCATAATAATTGGGAGAATTAAACAGATCCATCTCTTTTCATGCCTGAAAACTGCAAGGTAGTTTTCAGGTAGGAAAAAGCATAGCTGAGTTAGAAAGCAGTATCTGGCTGACCTTTGCTGATCTCCAAAAGCTAAGTAGACCAAACCTGTTTAGTACTTGGATGGTACACAACCAAGAAATACCAGGATAGTAGAATGTATGTTCCATTTTTTAAAAAATATTTCTTTTTCCAATATTTCTGCAAAATTAATTGGACGATAACTCATCAACACAGACTGCTATGCTCCTTACTCCCATGGCCTTGGTGTAAAAATACAAAGGAGCAGCAGCTCATACTGAGTATCTTTTGTTTCCTATGCCCAGAATAATAATAATAAAAAAATAGTTTTGCTTCCACAGAACAACGAAGCTGTTTGGAGCTTTGCTCCATTACACTGCAACCCATTTGGGACATTCCGATGAAAAGTGCTGAGTGGGGTGCCTGGTTCCAAACTGAAATATAACAGGTTAGTTATATCATAGGCACCACTAGATTAGATATGTAGGAGAAGAACAGGTAGAGGTGGGTGGGAACGAAGCTAAATGAGTCATCAGCCTAAAATTATTGCATTCCCACATCTATATCCAACTCCTCTTGAATTCTGTTGACACTTATCTAGCACCAATTTTGAGCACTGAACATTAGTTGACTAGATTCTTTATTGTTTGAGTAATAAATCTCCTTAATTGCAACTTAACATATGATCCTGATTCTTTGCGCATGACAATATCATAAAAATACTTACTTTTCGCTTTCTTTGCAACAGCCCCTTTTTTGCCAGAAGGTGGAGACTTGACCTCAGCAAGAGGTTTCTCCATTGCCTCTTTAGCCAATCTAAGTGCCTCTAGTTCCTTAGCCATCTTTTCTTCCTGGTATTTGGCTTCTTCTGTCACTATCCATTCATCAATGGATGCAGCCACCAATTCCAGATAATTCCTGGAAAATGTATTACTGCTATCAATCAGAACACTGACTAGAAAAGGCTCTTCTCCTTGACCCTGATTTACCGAATTCATTAGCAGACCAGGTCCATAGCAGGCCTTTTCTGCTGGCACAAGGGGGTAGTCTAGTCCCAATCAGATGAGGCAATTCCTCAGATACTGTGGACCCATGCCATTTATGGCTTTAAAGATAATAATCAACACCTTGAATTGGATCTGGAAGCAAAATGATAACCAATGCAGCTTTTCACAACAGCAGTGTTATATATGCCAGCCTAGGCCCCCACAAACTGTGTACACTGCTGCATTCTGCACCAGCTATAGCTTCCAAATAATCTACAAGGGCAGCCCCATATAGAACTTGTTGCAGTAACCCAAGTGGTAGCCAGGGGCTGGACCTCTTACCTCTTTTTGACACTGATTGAGACCGGCCTTGGAGAAATGTGCTGAACCAGACTAATTCTGCACCACTCAGCCCCAAACCCTACAGCCAGCCCAAAAGGATACCTTCTGGTCAATGGTACCTAAAACCAAGAGGTCAAGGAGAGCAAGAATGGATGCATTACCGCCATCCATGGTGGCACAGTAGTTAGAATGCAGTACTGCAGGCTACTTCTGCTGACTGCCGGTTGACTGCAATTTGGCAGTTTAAATCTCACTAGGCTCAAGGTTGACTCAGACTTCCATCTTTCCAAGGTTGGTAAAGTGAGGACCCAGATTGTTGGGCACAATATGCTGACTCTGTAAACCGCTTAGAGAGGACTGTAAAGCTCTGTGAAGTGATATATAAATCTAAGTGCTATTGCTATTGCTATCTCATTTTACTATTGTAATTATAAACTTTAAGATAATTCCTAATTAAAAAAGCTTTTGATAATTTCAGATGTGTTATTTTAATTTTTTTGCAGAGGTTCTGTCTTTTTGTGCACATATTACTATTTTCCAGTCCCCCATCAAATTTCATATGGTAAGTCCAGAGGTGAAATCCAGCAGGTTCTGACAGGTTCTGGAGAACCGATAGCGGAAATTTTGAGTAGTTTGGAATGTCTAGCACAAACGTGAAATTGTTAAAAATATATTGTTACCTATTTTCCCCTTTTTTGAAATTTAAAAATATGATAGTTGAATCTCATTGGATGTTACCTATTGGGAAATGATTATTGTTACATAAAAGCAGTTTACTTTTGCTAACTATTAAATTGTACAAATAATTTACCAGTAATGATGGTAAAGTAGCACCAATCATTCATCATCACTGAATTATTATTCGTTGTCATAATTCACTCCTTCTCCCTTTCCATATGATACAGTAGTGAAATGTAAAATTTGTTACTACCGGTTCTGTGGGCGTGGCTTGGTGGGGAATAATGTGACTGGGTGGGCGTGGCCAACTTTTTTTTTTTTACTTTTAAAAGCATTTTTTGTACAACCTTAAGAGGTTGCAGAAAAAAATGCTTTTAAAAGCCTCTGGCCATCAGGCAACTCAGCTGGGATCGTCAGAGGCTATTAAAGGCATTTTTTTCCTACAACCTCTTCGGCCAAAGAGATTGCAGAAAAAAAATGCTTTTAAAAGCCTCTGATGATCAGGCAACTCAGCTGGGATTGTCAGAGGCTTTTAAAGGCATTTTTTCCTACAACCTCTTCGGCCAAAGAGGTTGCAGAAAAAATGCTTTTAAAAGCCTCTGACGATCAGGCAACTCAGCTGGGATTGTCAAAGGCTTTTAAAGGCATTTTTTTTCCTACAACCTCTTCGGCCGAAAAGAGGTTGTAGAAAAAATGCTTTTAAAAGCCTCTGATGTCCCAGCTGAGCCGCGCGATCATCAGAGGCTTTTTTTTTTTTACTTTTAAAAGCCTTTTTTTGGCCGAAGAGGTTGTAGAAAAAATGCTTTTAAAAGTAAAAAAAAAAAGCCTCTGATGATTGCGTGGCTCAGCTGGGCATGGGGGGAGGCAGGGATTTTTGCTACCGGTTCTCCGAACCACCCACCGCCATCACTACCAGATCGGGCAATCTGGTCCGAACGGGGAGCATTTCACCCTTGATGTGATAGGATAGTATTTGAAATCCATTTTACCTGAACCCAACATCAGAATGCAGTGAAATGTTCCAGAACTCCTGGAACTGACGGTGTTGGTTTATGGGATTATGAAGCACTATCAGCAAAGAGTTGTCTTGAGTATGATAATAGGAATCAATGCACCTATAATTCTGAGTTGCATTGTGAAGGACCTGTTAACAAGAGAAGAATTAATACAACTCCATTGTCATTAAGAGACTGTCTGTAAAGGTGATGGGAAAAAAGACAATGGGTACATTTATTTGTGCCAAATGATTTATAGACAACTGATGGACACCAATAATAGAAATTGTGAAGTGTTTTACCATGTATATTCAAAATGTAAATGATTGTATAAAATAGAGAACAATATAGAAATAACATTCAATTTGAAAAAGTTAGGAAAAGGAAAAAAAACACTAAAGCAAGGTGTATAATATTTAAAATAAAAAAGCCTTGAGTAGAGATACAGTCATGTGAAAAGTAAGTACATCCCATGTAAAGCTTTTTCTTCTTTTATGTGAATATATCAATATTTTATCTTTATTCAAACAGTATAAAGATAAATGTGATGTAAATTTGAAACAATAGAAAATACTTGTAGCTTGGGTTTTAGATTTTGGCAGCAGTTTGCTCTCCAAGCTTGTCAGTTGGTCGTTCGATTAGTTGTCCGTTTGGAGTTATATTTAAATTCTGAGCAGCTGATTGGTTCTCTTATTGATCGGTTGTTGTTTACTTTGGTAGAAACAACCTCAAGGAGGCATTTCTTATAATTGCCTACCATTCTCTGATACTGACTGAAAGAAATATTTTTCCCATGCAAAATTTTTTCAGATGTACAATGTTTGTGAGATTTCTCGCATGCACAGCCCCACAGCATCTCATAGGGATTTAGAACCAGGCATTGAGTTAGCCATTCCAAAATGCAAAATTCTTTTTTTTTAGCTATTTTTTTATTGGAATGTTTAAGTCATTGTCATACTGCAAGGTCCACTTTCAGTTGAACATCAAACTTCTGACAGATGATTTCATATTACGTTCAAGGACTTCTGGTACAATGAACAATTCATAGAGGATGTCATGATGGCAAGCTGTCCAGGCCCTGATTCAGCAAAGTAGGCCCAGATCACAACATTTCCACCACCATGCTTTATGGTTGGTATCAGGCTCTTCTGGTCAAATGTTTGGGTTTTGTCAAACTTATCTTCTAGTACTACAGCAAAATATATTTGCCTTGTCTGTCCAAAGCACATTGTTCCATAAGTCCTGGTTTTTGCCTAGGTGTTCATGGATAGACTTTAGTATTGCCGTTAGTTCTTTCTGGGCAGCAAAGATTTTAGCCTGGAATACCTCTCACATAGATCTACCTGGGGCAGCTTCTTTCTAATGATAGACTCATATACTTTTATATCAATAGTGGAGAGAGCTACCTGTAGATTATGTGATCAAACTCTGGGATTCCTAGATACTTTTTTCATTATCTTTGCCCTGGGGTTAAACTTGCTGGGACAACCTGACCTGGTAAGTTAGAGTTGCTTGAAATCTTCTCCACTTACAGATAATCTTCTAGATAGAGGAATGATTGATGTCCAATTTTTTGGTGATCTTTTCAAATCCCTTCCCAGACTAACTTTCCCTATCTTTTTGAAAGCCTCTCAGAGCTCTTCCAGTTTAGGCATGGTGATATTACACACTTCAACAACAAAGAAAGACTAAATGTCTGAAGTTTCAGTAGGATGGGATGAGTATCTCTCAGATCCTTTCTAACATGTTCTAATCATGTGCATCTCCTCTGGTACACCTGATTCTAACTTTATATATTTCATAAATTTACAGCTTTTCCACATGTGAAATTTGCATTTATGTTTACTTAAATTACACAATATAATGCAAATGGTGCGTGTTGTGTATATTATATCTCCTTTATCTATCAATATTATTAAAATGAAGATTAAGTATCTGTATGTTGAAATATGTTGAAAAAGTAAAAAAATTCATTGGGGTGTACTTTTTCACTGACTGTAAGGGCAATTTGACATATAATTTCAGGATCACCATTGAGAAGGCCCAACTGAGAGTAAGCACAACATGGTTATCTGCAATTTTCAACATAACACAGATGGACATATATGGATGGATTATTTTAGTAATGAATTGGTATGTAATGGGAAAGATGACCTATTAGTATGTTAAGAGCAAAACCTTGAAACCGATTCAACTATAGTTGTTTTAACAATAATGTAACATATGCAGACAGCAAGGTGTTCATTCAATATCCTGACTACAATTTCCTGAACTTAAATGTTGACATACAGCACTTAAACAGAATGTAAAATTACCAGTATGTGACTCATAGTAGCTAACTTATCATATTACCTAAGCTATTGCTGCTCAGGAAAGATAATACAGCAATCAATCTCTGAGGACTCTGAAGAATGTAGGAGAACTTCTAAATTACGTATTAGTATTTTCTAACAAAGTTCAAATGTGTTCAAAACAGGCAAAGTCCTCAATTTACCTCCTACACACACACATACATAAACATATATATAATATAAATATATATATATGCTTCCTATTCTAATGCAATTAAACTATCTAGAAGGACACCACAGTCAATATCAAAAACTACTGAGAAACTAAACAGGGTCAATGAAGTTGCACTTCATCTATCTCTCCTGAAGAAAGCCACCTGTCAGGTTTACCATGGTTTATTTTGAGCCACAATCCAGAAATATTCTAGAATGATAAATAACTTCTGCTGGAATATCCATAGCTACACAGAGAATACCCTATCAAGTAACTGTCCTCAGATTAATCTCAATTTTGGGTATAATGTTGAAAATATAAACACAGACTTATTTTATGGAAATGCATATTAAGCAGGTCCTGTGCAAGTGTTTACTAAATGAGACAACAAATTAAAGTTACCTGGAAGAGGAGTTGTGGTTGAAAATGCTCAACAAAACTCCAGTCATTCAAACACCGCTGCTGGGTCTTTTGGATGGCTGAAATTACCTTATGAGAGAATAGATAAAATTTAGCTCATTTAATAAATGTTGAGAAGGAGGTGAAAAAGAATCCACAGAGGCTTATTTTCTAGCTTTAGAATCTAATTCATTTTAAATTGATTACCTTAAAATCTTTACATTTCCATACTATCACATGCACCCAACATCTGTGGTAAGATGGGCAGCCAATCAATCAATCAATCAATCAATCAATCAATCAATCAATCTGCATATTCAACACCTTATTTTCTGTAAAATGGCCCTTTTCTTCATTAACACATCAATATCTTCATTTTGGGTATGAAGTTGCCATTAAAAACAGAAGAAGAAATAGAAAATGTCACTGCCTTTTCTATATATGTTATTACTCAACCAATGCTGTCTAGAGTACAATAGTGCTCTTTTCACTTTCAATATTGTGGATTTATTACGGATATACAGATAATTCTAAAAGTAATTTCTAAAAACTATCTCAATAGAAGAACACATATATTCCAAAGTTTATATGGCCTAGAAAGAAACTCTGAAGGTGAATTTCTTAGTTTTAGGAGACAGACTAATCTCAACAATAATTTGATGTTCTTTCTCCTGATATTAGTCTTGCAGTACACCATGCTTTGAAAAATTAATTATAACATTTATATGTATTTAGGTGACATCTATTTTGCTTTTAACATTATAGCAATTTCAAAGTACCGTAGTATGATTATATTAAATATATTTTAGGACTATGTACATCTTTTTTTCTCTCATTATAATTTTCAATATAGATTAAATTATGCTAAATTATTTTTATCAGCAGTTCATTATTTTTTTTTAAAAAAATAGCAGCTTTTTATACCCGCTGGGTAGAAAGCAAGTTATAATACAATCACATAACCAACTTAATGCACTGAGAGGTAGGAAGAATCTTTGTTGCAGCTGAAGCTATCTCTCAAGCATAATTAATACCTAATTTGAAATTCAGCCCATAATTGTTTTTCCACTTTTTTCTTTATTGGGAATCTTTAGGATGAACCCATTACATTTCAGGTCAGTTACTTCATGATGAAGCCATTCAGCCACTTATTACCATTTTGTCATAATGTATAAGGTGCTAAACTATACGTGAGATGAAGGTAGAATATCATTTTTGATCAGCATAGGATTTTTAGGGGGTTATTTGTTTTATTAATTAATGCTCATTCTTAAATTAGAAAATGCTCTAAAAGTACTTTTTTTTCCTCTCCTTTCTTCAGTCTAGTTATCTAATAATGGACTTGTACCAGGGTTCAAATTCACACTTGACTACGGAATACACTGGCCAATTCTGGACCATTCAGCCCACTTTATCTCATACATTACATACTTACTATAGGGATAAAATTAGATGAGAATGTTCAGGATAACCTCTCAGAGCTCTTATGCAGAAAATAATTGTAACAGTAATATTAGATCTATATTTATGAAAGGAGAAAATGCTTAACCTATTTCTCTTCCTCCTTTGCTACCAATGAAACAAACAGCAGCACTTAAAAAGGACATTCAGTTGTGAAAATGGCAACAGAGGAAAATGTTAGAAATGTTTAAAGCATTGCTTTGTCAATCTTCAAAGCAGCATGAAAAGCTTATTAGTTTAGAAAAGAATGTGGAGATGACTGAAAAAAAAAGTTACTGGAGTTCTTTAAGTAGTCATCTGTGAATTCATAACTCCTTGTTGAAAAAAATCCCTATTTTGTGAAAACCAGCAAATATGATGAGATGAAACAAAGATTATGGACGTTCTGTACCAATGTGTAACCCATATGTGTGAATCTCAGACATTAAGTATATGAAAATGCATTTTCACTTTCTTTCTTCTATTGTTTTCACTGCAAACAATAAAACTTTAAATATTCAAACAATACAGAATGATAACAGATGGGAATATGAAATATTTGATAACTGTCAACAGCATCATTTTCCCCCCAAACAGAACAGTATGGAATGAGAGGCTCCAATTCTAATTATGCTAGAATACAGCACACATATCTGTACAAGATCAAGTGTTTCAAGCTTCTTAAGACATTCAACCTATTGTATATTTTTAAAATTAAAAACAAGGAATGCTTAATTACTAGAATTTATTTATACATTCTGGTTCTTATTTCAGCACTTCTTACCTTATCTACAGAATTATTCAGTCCATTTTCATGAACATCAGCAATCAAACCTGTGGAATGTATTTGAAGATATATACAAAAAGTTTAGAAATGTTAGATTCTGTTATCTGGTTCCAATTACTTAAATGCTCAGTGAACAAAATGGGTACTATGCAATCTTCAAAAATTATATTCATATATTTAAAGCATTATTTTTTCTCCTTCTCTTTGTATCTGCTTTTATATATTTCTGCATGAAGACCTCAATCCATAGCAACTATATAAATAGTCATAGCTTCTATGGCAGAATCACCTTCCTCAAGCTTCAGGCTTTTGAATATATGAAGGTGAGAGCACAATAATCCTGTTATCACTGTTCTCAGATTTGTGAAGATAAATTCAGACATCAACAACCTATAGTTCCTTTCATGAAGATATTTACTCATGAAACCATCTCCTTTCATCTCATGCTCATTGTAGAAGTTAGAATAGGGCTAGTTCAAGATTCAAATTCCATTAACCCAGCAATACTATTCTCCAGATCTAAATTTGTATATAGTAAGCATTTCATCTGCTAACTGTACAGTCCAGCAGGAAGATAATGGAAAACTAGCTGATCTTTAAAAGAACTCTTAAAGCAGCATTCTTGCCAATGCTTTGGAAAAGATAGGGATTCCTTTCATTTAAGATGACAAGAGCAATCCTAATTTTAGTGGTCATAATTTTTTAAGTAGAGAGGATGCCTAGCAATTAATAAGAATATACAATGCTACATTAGAGAATGGGCAATATTGAAAAGGGTAAGCCAGGGAAGAGTGGCTTCAATCTGAATTACTAACTTTCCCACACACTTTAGACTGGCAACAGAACTCATATTATGAACAAAAAGTAGAGCTAAAACACACTAAATTCCATCTGTTTCTATTCAACCCATATCATGCCAGGCTATCCCCATATCATATGTATAATAGCATATCTATACCTATAATAGCTTTTGAGTATAGACTCAAGAGAAAAAGAATCCATAATGAATGGCAGATATTTTATTATTTTGGCCTCAGAGCATGTTCTAAACTCAGAAAATGGAATAGGTTAGTAACAAATGCTAGGATGCCATATGGTGTATAAACTACCACACTTAAGAATAGTCAACAAATTGCTCATCCCTCCCAAACAAAACTCCAGCCAGCTAATCCCATATAGATATTATGGCACTCCCAATCAATGATGCAATGTGCTCTAAACACCCGAGTACAGATAACTGTCGTATGTCTTCTCCCCATCTCTGCAGCGATGTCATCAATAGTGGCTGGATCATTTTGAACATTTCTTTCATAAGCAAATAATGCAGTGGTCCCCAAAAGTTTGGAGTTGATGAGCACATACAGAATATTAAGGACGAACTATAGGCTCTAGCACATTCACAAAGTAGCTGCCATGGGAATGTAACAAGTCACAAATCACCAATTTACAAGAATGCCACAATTATTCCTACTTAATTTTTCCTTTTCATGAGCAATTTTACAAAGAGCTGGGGTGGAACTACTGGGAAAACTTTTTAATCTTGTAGAGTCCAGAGTCATTTTTGTACATAAAGCATGGTTGGACATTTGCATTTTGTTTTGCAGCATGCTAGCTTCCTGTTTTTAATTAATGTAAAAAGTCAGACAGAGTAGGAACGCTGGCATTTGACAAGACATGTGCTAATGAGGTACACTGGCATCCCCACATACCATGCTAGGGTGTGTCCCCCCCTCTCTCACACACACATACACACCTCCAAAGCTAGGTATTCAATGTGCAATAAAAAAGAATCTGTGGTCAGAAACTCATGCAGCAGTAAATGTCTTGGGAACAATATTCCATGAATCAACTAATACCTCTTATTAATGCTGCAAGTTTCTAATTTCCTAACGTAATGAACAAGAACTCCAGAGAGAATTCCAGAGGGAAAATGGAGAAGGAAAAGGAAAAGAAGATATTTCCAAGCAACGTATACCTGAGCTGGAAGATTTGGATTGTCTCTTGATATTTTCCTCCAGTAAAAAAGAGAAACATTGTTGACTTGGAAATGTACTATGCTCAGAGTCTAGCTCTATAAAAAAGAAATACAAAAAAGACAATTAGATAAATTCTAAATGTGCATTCATACAGGAGTTCCCCTGCATTCCCAATTTAGCTTTCAGCACTGAAAGTAGCAGTGCAGAAAAGATTCCCCTTAGAAACTGGAAACAACTTTGTTTGGGAAAAGTAGAGCCTCTTTCATATGCGGGTACTGCAGAGATCAAGATGGATGACCCTTGAAAAATATCAATATGAACAGGATCTGAGGCTTCATGTAAATTAATGTTTATTCAATGTAAATTTTATTTAGTTTTTTGACATACCATTTAAGAACTACAGGCAATCCTTGACCTACAACAGTTCATTTACAACCGTTCAAAGTTACAATGGCACTGAAAAATGTGACCCTTTTTTGTAGTTACAACCTTTGTACCATCACCATGATCATGTGATCAAAATTCAGGTGTCTGGCAACTGATTCATATTTATGACAGTTGCAGTGTCACAGGGTCATGTTATCACATTTTGCAACCTTCTGACAAGCCAAGTCAATGGGGAAGCAAAATTTGCTTAACAACCAGGTTACTAACCTATCAACAGCAATGATTCACTTAACAACTGTCACAAGGAAAATCATAAATGTCTCACTTAACACTCAATTTAACACTTAACAAAATTTCTCACTCAGAAATTTTGGGCTCAATTATGGTTGTAAATTGAGGATTACTTGTACTATCAAGCTCAGATATTTTATAATATGAACACATTTCTAATCCTATCCTATATGTGTCTGCTCAGAAATAATTTCTCTTTTCAATATGCCCTACTGTAGCCATTTCCCAAAAAGAATCTGATAATGATAATCACAAGAACAAGAATAATAATTGATTAATTTTATTTTGCATTTCATTCAAAAAGCTTAGAGAAATATACAAGGTTGTTCATCTGCTTTTACTTTCACAATTCTTATGCTGCTAGTAAATAACATCCAAAGGAGCTTCACATAGCTGAATGGGTATTTCAGTCTAAATTTCCTGAACCATCCTAGATGCTGTTAATCTATGTTGCAAAAAAAAAAAAACCAAACAAACAAACCCGGGAGTCTGGTAGCACCTTTTTAGGCTAACACATTTCATTTACAAGGCATAAACTCTTGTGAGATGTAGCTCACTTCATCACAATTGCAGTTCACTTTTTTTTTGGTGTGTAGCTCTTTTTTTCCATGCAGTTCATGAAAGCTTTTAATGTGCTGCTTCAAAAAGGAGCCATCAGATTCCTTCTGATCTGCCTTGGTCTGACATCTTCTACAATGAGTAATTAACAAATGATTTTCAAGATCATTAAATGAAACATATCATTCTATTTTTATTCCTTCAAATAAATGTCTCCGCTAAATAAAAAAAAATCCTTCAATGGCACCATCCCATGCTTTATTATGATTAAAGTACCTATTTGTAAGTTAATTTGACATGGCTCACTTGATGTCCCTGCTCATGAGTAATTTACTGTTCCAAGAGGAAGTGGAAATTCTGAGACAGTAGTTCCCTTCCCTGATTTTGTGCCTTGTGTCAAGATTTCCTCAGCTTTCTGCATACTAAAGTGCAAAATATTGCTACATTTTGTTATGCTGAATTACAATTTTAAAATTTTACTACAGAGGAGCAATTAAAATATTTCCCTCCACCTGCAAAGTAGTTTCTATTTCCTGATTGTGTCAACTCAAATCCAGATACTCCAAAATCTGTCCCCACCTGAATTACAATTTTAAAATTTTACTACAGAGGAGCAATTAAAATATGTTCCCTCCACCTGCAAAGTAGTTTCTATTTCCTTGATTGTGTCAACTCAAATCCAGATACTCCAAAATCTGTCCCCACCTTGCCTTTCAATCCTCTTTCAGCTTAGTTTCACAGTCCTAATACTGTCTGTTTAGCTAGCAATTATCTTTCTGCACCATTGTCTTGCAAACTGCTCTTTCTTTGTCTTTGGGTGGGTTTTTCTTCCATCTCATATTCTCTATAGTCAATGCAGCCATCTTGAAAGCTCTCCCTTGGTAGCCATTTTTTTTCACTTAGACTAGAGGAGACATGACAGTGTTGCAATATTTGAGGAGCTCCTACAAAAATGAGGGGGTCAAAGTCTATTAGCCAAAGCACCAAAAGGCAAGGCGAGAAACAATGGATGGAAACTAATTAAGGGAAGCAACCTAGAACTAAGGAGAACTTTCCTAACAGTGAGAGCAATCAACTAAAGGAACAACTTGCCTTCAGACATTTTGGGTGTTCCATCACTGGAGGCTTTCAAAGAAACTGGATAATCATTTATTTGAAATGGTATAGGGTCTCCTGGTCGAGCAGGGGATTGGACTGGAAGACCTCCAAGGTCCCTTCCAACTCTTTTATTCTATGTTCTATGGTTGTGTGTGGAATTTTGGAAGCTATATCATTTAGTGACCACAACTGTTAAAATGCCAGTATGTTCTGATTTTCTTACAATATAATTTTTTAATAATAATTCAAGAAATTATAAGCATTGTGCTTTAATATATTCACAAAATACATCTAAAATTTATTTACCTGAATTATTCTGATTAAGTTCTTTAGAAACCTTTTTGCTAATTAATTCTTGTCTCAGTTGTCTAGCAAACCTAGCAGGATTGTCCCATGGGATATAAGACACCTCATCATCACCACCAAGCATCTTGCCAGAACTTTCAAGCCGCCCAGAGTTATCGACTTTTGTCAGCTTCAAACTTTCAAAAGTAAATACTCGAAAGGCTCGTTCTACTTCAGCCCAATTCATATGTTCTACAAGAAAATTAAGCCACAGAAAGAAAAATGTCTGTTTAAATTGCCTGCATCCACTTTTTATTTTGTCAGAAATCTGCTTATCATTCATGGCTGATTCAAATTTATTCCAACCAATGCATTCCCAGAAGCAAAAAAAAAAAAAAGTATCACATAAAAGAGGAAATTATTCTACTTCCCAGAGCAATTCAATATAACAAAAATTTGGAAACAGTAAGCCAATAAAAGAATAATATTACCATCAGTACAATAGTGCATGAGTTCATGAAGTCTGGCAAGGCGTTTGGTATTGTTTGCAGGTGATGGAAGAGGGAATTTAAGAAGTTCCATCAAAGGCAGCTTTTCCATCATTTCCTCTTCAATCTTTATTGGGTCTAAACCATCTTTTACCTTAAGTGAAGAGAAATATGAAACTTCACTGATTGTGCTACTGAAAGGAGGAATGAGCAACTTTTTATACTGGGGAACATAACAAGTGCTTTTTGCTTTTTTCTCTATCTCTTTGGGGCATTGGAATGACACTACTGCTTCCAGGGAAGGGGTTAAGGCAATACAGATGCATTATGCCTAGCAAAAGCTTCACATACTCATTTTGCTTCTTAGTTTTTTTGAAAAGCAAGACCAGACTTAAATGTGATGTCCTAAAGTATACAATTCTATAAACATACACTTTGGAAAATGAAAATGTAAAAACGTGAACTCTAGCTCTACATATTTTAATAACACAGGGTTAATATGTATTGCATATGCTAGTGATAGCTTCTTGATTGATTGTGTTGGATAACATTTTGTGCCATTTTATAAGTCCTACTATAGGATTGCCTATTGATGTTTCATAAGCAGTGAAATCACAATCCACTAGTTTCTAGGCTTTTTTTTTTCTGGCAGCCAGCAAACACTCTGCTGCCCATTGGGAGACTAAGGAGACTAAGATAGATCTATTTCGGATAGATCTATCCAAAATAGGATTTTTATATATATATATATATAAAATATATATATATACACACATACACACATACATACATACATACATACATATATATAAAGAAATGACTTCCAACCTTCATGACAAGTATAGATAAATTTAATAACTTTTCACCTCTTATAAGGTTACTTTTCATCCCATATCCTATCCCATATTGATAAGCAAATCCATAAAACATCAATGTTTGAATCTTGGTGTCCATAAAGGTTGCCAGAACTTTAAAAAAAGTTTTATTTTAATCTTGAACAAATAAGTCAACTTTATATTCCTTCCTTGTACTTTTAAGTTTTAATCTTTAATTCAATCAGATATTATCATAGGATCTAATTTCTCTTCAATTCTTCTTCATCCCATTGCATAGATTTCTTCAAGGTTTTAATAAGCCTTTTTTGTGGATCCAATAAGAAAATATTTTCCAGGTCATTCTCTTAGCTTATCATTTGTTTTTCATATTTAATTTTTAAAATGTCAGCCAGTTTCTTTTGCATATCCAGTAAAGAGTTCTTTTTCAAATCATTCTCTTGGCCTATCATTTGTAGTTCCACATTCAGTCATCTTGTCAAATCTGTTCCACACCTGTCATTCTTTCATGCCGTTGGAATCAGACCCAGCTACAACACAGGCTGCTTCAGGCACTCATTTGGCCCTCTCCAGCAATTCCTCCTGGGATCTCTCCACCCCACTAAAGTGTGCAACTTGCAATCAAGTAGCAAGATGTTGAACTGACTAAAGATTGGCAGACTTGCATACATTTAGCAGGAAGGGAATTTAAATCACACAGTAAATTTTCCCTTAATAGAAGCAAATGGAGCATCTGAATTCTGCCTGCTTATCTACAAATAGTTCCTGTTTTGGTGTTTTGCCTTTTTCTCTGCTATCTCCTGCGGCCTTGCTGTTGAGACCTGTAGCAACAAATCCTCCAAATAGTTAGTACTGTATTTTCCTAAGAACTGTGTCTGTTTCCTGAAGGGATGCTAAGAAGTCAAGATGCAAAACATTTCTCCATTAATATTTTTTGGAAATATTCTATTCATAGAAGCAGACATCATTATTGACATCATTGAAATTGCAATTACTAATTTCTAGTGTCGGGGTTTCAAGTAACACCCCCAACCAAATAAGATTCTGAGGCAGGCATTTCCTCAAAGTTCCATTTCATTAGAGATGCCATATTGGCACATCTGGGAAAACCCAAATCTGAAGTCTCCCGGGTTTTCCTCACCCAAGGGAAAGTCTAAGACCTTTCCCCTGCACCCACATGTCCATCACATGGTCCAATCAGGTCACCATCCTAACTGGAGTAGTTTCCCAGCCATGCCTCTCCAGATGCAGGTTGAATGTCCTTGACTCCCAGTGAAAGAATGTTGTTATTATGGCTATACATCTTACCCCGTCACCATCCAACCCCCCCTCCCAGTTCCCACAGCATGCCCAAAGTGTGGCAGCCCTGAAGATCCAAAGGAAAAAATGGCCTCTAGGGCTGACATCTAGCTCCATTCCTCAAGGAATCCTTTAATTTTCAAATAACATTTTGTGCCATTTTATAAGTGGTGGTATTAAACAACATTAAGAACAGGGTTGTATTTTTCCCTTTATGTTTGAAATCTTTAGTAGCCAGTTTCTAAAATCATAAAGAGACTTGTCTTTTTATGATATACAATAACCAATGTAGCCTAAAAAATCTGTTTCCCATAAGAAGCTTTTTATTTCGTATAGTCCATCCCAAAATTTTATGGTAAAAATTAATATTCCAAATTTATCTGGACCCTTAATCCGTTTCTAACTTTCTTAGATGAAAATCTTATTTAGCTTGTTGTTTATCAAATTCTTTATGTTCTTAGGCTTACAGCTAGTTTTTCTTCTGTTCAGAGTTGAAGATAAACTTACTGTTGACTTTTCCAACTTGTTATTCTGAAAGTCTCTCACAACTTTACAATAGGGAATTTCCAAAAGAGATTAGACAGTGATTTTAGTGAACTTTGGGTCCTTTAAGAAGCTCTGCTATGATTGCAAGCAAAATGACTAACTCCCTCATCACATGGAGAAAACTGCTTTCATGTGGTTGGCTCGTGAGAAACAGTCATCCAGACAACATATGTATCATCTCCCATCCTGTCTTTGTCTACTTATTGGTCCTCAGTTTGAATCATGGTAGTAAATTCAGGGAGACGTCTCAAGTCGGGCGGTATACAAATCAAATAATAATAAAAAAAAGTCTGCCATACCTCTCCACAAAGTCCCATGCATATATTTGTTTAAACTAGGTCATCATTTACTGTTAGTATCAATTAACATTTCTGCTAAAATATTGTGTCTTGAACCTGGATCTTTAAAAAATATATACTAAAATTTTACCCTTAAAATCAATATATATTTATACACTAAGTATCTTTTTAAAAAAATTTCTTGGTTGATCTTCATGATTTTTAGTTTTTGTCTTGATTTTCAAGATAAAGTAGAAAAACAAAGTAAAAAATTGTTCTTAAAAGCAATTTATGAGATATTTTAGTATTTTACATTGGGGAATCTAACCACATGGAATAATTTTATTATTAGTTTTATATGAACATAGATTTTGCCTTTGCAGAGAACTCTAGGTACTTACAGTTTATGCATTCTTTTGGAATTTGGCATATTTATAATGAAGTATTCTTTCTTTCATTTCTCTATTTTTGTATTATTCATGGGAAAAAACTGATAAATGTTATATTATACCTTTAGGTAGTGTAGCTTCCGAGACAAATTATCATGATAGTTTAATATTAGAGGCCCTCTGGGAGCCGTAACTTTTTCATCATTTTCAGAATAAAAGGAATTATACAGCTCCTGTCAAAGGAAAGGAAGCATGCATTTAAAAACTTGTTTATAATTTTTATAGAAGTATTAAATTTTTATAAAAGTATTAAATCAGACAATACAAACCATTTTTTCATTCTCAGGAAGGGCAAGTGAAGGTAGAATTGAAACAATATAACTGGCAATGGTATGATCCAATCCATCTTCACGTGGCAGTGGAATCACTAGACTTGGTGGTGTAAGATTTTCTTCTGATGCAACAACCTAGCACAAATAAATATTTTATGTCATTATTCCAATGATCTGGGATAAAAACATGTTGAAGGAATTATTAAAAGTATTACAGTTACAGAATTTGTACCATCAATACAGGTATTCCTCAACCAAGAGGTGCTTTTTCAAGAGGCAAATAGATTGTCCCCTCCCTCTGCATTGTAGTTTTAACACTTAACCCTTCATTGTCTGTTCTCCATCTCACTGCTCTTGTTTTTCCCCCTTTGTTTTAAAACTTCTTTTCTAGGAAATTAGAAACTGTAAAGCACAAACTGTGACTTATTATCCTGTTTTAAATTAAAGAGGTCTTAAGAAGGTGACCTGTTCCCTCATTAGGCCTCACATGGCCTTCCCCACCCTAAGATACCTCATGTGCATTTAACAACCTGCGCATTTGATTAGCGAATGCATGGGTGATAGCTGGGAGTGATCATGTTCAAGTTATGAGATTCATTCCTATGAATCCTCAGGTTACGAATGTAATTGGAAGGCTCCATTACATTCGTAACTCAAGGACTACTTGTATAGCCTATGTTTGCTTACCTGCTGTAACATACACTCCAGTAATAAAGCAACAGAAACCACCTCATCAGGGACACAACTCAGGAGATCGTTGTAGTACCTCATGTCTACATCTGTAATAATAAAATTATTTTAATAAAAATAAAATTTAAAAATGTGTTAAAACATTTAGGTATACAGAGCTACCAATAAATACAATCTGAATATATTATACACCTATGAATATTCCTACTTCTCAAAATAAGCAAGTGATTCCCTTTGCAATAGGTCCTTTTGTCTGAGGCCAAAGCAAGCAAGCTCTGTTTGAGTAACTGAAAGGTTTTTCTCTCAATCTACAGACAATAATTCTTTAAACAACTATATTAAACAACCTTAACAAAAGGAAGAAAATCTTCCTGAAGGTGTGCAAGGCATCAAATCAAGACTTTGATTCACAATGGTGAGCCTTATGATGGAAAACCAGCAGTACAAACTCTTGAAAGATTATGATATGTTTAGTCTGTGATTGTCTGAAACCTCTTTGGGGACGTTCTTAATTTAAACATCATCTGGTTTGAGGATACTTTCAGTTGATATAACTGGCAACCCTGTTCATACTTTGCTTGATCCTTAAAATGTAAAGAGTTGGTCTACTGACTCAATTGCCCTACATGATCTCTCCTGTTTCTTCAAGTCATACTGCCTCTTGCTTTTTCTAAGAGGATGAGAAACCAACAAGCAATACTAGCAAATATTCAGAAAACGTGCCATCCATTCCATGTTGATCATTGCTGCAATGAAAATTTACTTCACTGAAACCATCATATCCATGCCCTGTTATCAAAGTGGTAAAAGACTTTTGGCAAAAAGCATAGGGAATGGCATTGAAGGACAGGAAGAAAAACTGCTATCATAGCAATGGCCATGATTTGAGCAGTTCCAAGGAAATAGAGAAAATACCTCAGACAGGCCTCTCCCTAAGTCATACAAAAATAAACTGAGGGAGGCAGAAAGCACATTCAAACTTGCAAGATTCTATTAGAATAAAAGCAATATTGATCTATGTTGTACTGGTTTCTTTATTTTATAGGGCTGACACTATATAACTAATATAATTGTTATTCAGAATCACTTCCCATGAGATGGACAGCTATATAAATTTGATTAATAAACAAATAAATAAATAGGACAAAAATCATGGATGTCAGTTGTGATTAATTTGCAGGAAAACTTGTGAACAAAATAATTCACATTTATTCCAGTTTAAATGCCATAATTTATCAAAATCAGTGCCTCTTTCTTTAACTTTTTTTTGAGATCTACAAAGTTCTTGAAGAGCTGAGACATAGCATGTCTACTTGATCCTTTCCTATCAATTGGATGATTGGAATGATTAAGTTTCAGCAACTTTATAAAGGATCCTGCTTTTCCCAAAAGTACATATGAATTTTATTCTAAATAATTATATATACTACTACTTTTCAAAATTTGAGGGCTGTTCATAATCGAACAATGAGAAAACAATCCCTAGTATGGCACTTCAGGGTTGTTGTTTTTTCCATACAGAGACTTCTATAATGCCAAACTCATTATGAGAATTATTCAGCTCAACTGGGCATTTTAAATTTAATTGTTTCATTTTAATTCAATGAGTGCCACAGTTCTGTTTATCTGCCAATGTTTATCTTATTATTAGGGATTGTTTTCTCATTCTTTGATTATGAACAGCCTTCATTTTTTTTTTTAAATTTAACTTTAACTTCCTAACTGCAGGGTCAATTTGGTGCAATGGTTAATACTTAAAAGCCAACAGTTACTTTCTCTCAGAGCTAGATTAGGAAATAAAAAAGAATTCTACCAGGTACTAGCAAAGCATTTCCAAAAAATGTTGCCAAAAACCCTGAATGGACCTGTTGAATCTGTCTATGTCAAGGAGTCAAGACTGATTTACAGGAGAATAACAACAATCTTATTATAATTTATTATTATAATGGGTACTCACTCTGGCTTGGAATAGCCTGGAAATATCATATACAGTACCCAACAACACACTTAATCATGTTGGTTATCTAATTTGCAAGCTGTATGTTCTAGTCATCCACAGAAGGATTTGGTAGTCCCTCACAGAGCTCTAGGAGTATGGGTTTGCTACTTAACCATTTTGTAGTTAAGTAGGAAATGTAAGTAGTCAGTGCCTATTAAAGAACAGGGATTTCATTCTTCATGGGACTCAGATTTATCATCTACTTTCTGGAGTATGTCAGTAATCTTCATAAAGTGTACTTTATGCTTATAAAGCTAGAGAAAATACTTTCAGCAGTTAATGATCAATGGCAACAGGGACAGAAAATTCTGAGGTTATCTGTCATGTTAATATGTATGTACAACTATATAGAGAACCCAGGAATGAAAAGATCATCAGAAATATTCCCATGGCTATCAGCAAAGATTTGTACAATGTTATTGTATACTTTCCTAGATCAGTGAAAAGGAATTGTTCTGATAATTTTTGCACAATAACTCAAGTTACTTTACATGTACCTGCAGTTAAAACTGGGAGTGGCACAGGCTCATCTACAGCCAGTTTTTTTTTTGTAGGAGTAACTGGAACAGTCATATGTACCTAGTGAAATAAAATGAATTAAAATAAAATATCCCATGTTTATGCTTTAACCTTGTTACAGCTGAAATAAAAGAACAAAATTATGTGGGCAAGACCCCAAGTATCGCTCTGGGCACACTGAGGGATGTAAGTGGATTAAAGATCTTTCTTTGAAAGAATGCATGGTATTGGCTTCCTTCAAAGAAGCAACAGAGCATCTGCTCTTGAAGAGGCCATATCTTGATTCAGCTATAATTAACACTCCTCAGGGTTCAAAACTGGGCAAGGTTAGCTCTAGCAAATGACTTTTACCTGGACTAGAAGAGAAGAAATATGCCCACTCTAAATCCTATTAGATCTCTTAACAATTATATGACTGCACTGACCATGGTTTCCTCCTGGATCACCAGTAACAACTGGAAGTAGGATTGCTGTTTTATGATGATTCAACTTCTTCATAACAGAGCAGCTCTAGTTCATAGTTATTGGCTGGGGAAGTGATCCTGTCCATGGCCATACTATAGCTACTGCTATGGCTCACTTTTCTCCCTCCTGCTATTCAACATCTAGGTAAAACTGCTGGGAGAAGCAATCAGTCAGTTCAGGATAATGTATCATCAATATACTTGTGATTCATTGCTCAGTCAGTGTCCCAGCCTGAGAAATGAGAGAGGCAGGAACCCAAAGCAGACCTTCTTGATGGTGGCTGTTTGACAGTGGAAAAGCTTACTCCCAGTGCAGATTCCCTTCGCACTGCTGAGCTTCAGAAAGATATTAAAATCCATTTCCCCCGAGATATTTGAGGTCTAGTAGTTGAATTTGGGCTAACTTTTTTTATTGGTTTTAATAGCCTATCCAATTCCTTTATTTAATATAAATTATTTTTTAAAGTAAATTTTAGTTGAATGTTTCTAATGGGGATTGATGGCATTGTTTTTATTTCTTTATATGTTGTCTGTACACTACCTATCATTTTGGGATAGGCTGCTATATTAATTTTGTAATAATAAAATAGATGAATATCTTGCCAGTCTAGCAGGTTATTAGTAATATCCAGTAAATTGAAGGAACAATTCAACAGTAATTACTCCATCACTAGATTTAGCTCTGAACTATGATATAGGTTTTAACAATATCCAAATGATGGGATTTTAAGCAAAATATATTTCCATACCAGATTTTACATAGAATATTACAATATGTTTGGCTATTTACCACAAACCTCTAATTTACTCTTCTTTTCTACCACAGGTACATTAATAAATCTAGTTGATTTCAAGTAGTTCTGGTGTTGTCTTTTCCAATCCAGGCAGTCATACATTAAACATGCAACATTTTCAAAGATGTCTGTTCCAGTTTCAAGCTATGTAATAGAAGACAAAGAAAATGTAGAGTTTACAATAGTTATTTGCTTATTCATTTTATATCCCAGTTTTTTATTGTTCTACTCAAGTGAATGCTTAAGTATAAGCAACAGGCAAATGGAGTAAAATTTTTAGCAACAATATGCATCCAATTTAACAATATAATGAAATATGGTTTTTGTGCTGTTCAGATTGAATGGTTTAAATTATTAATATTCCTTTTTTATTTTGGAAGAATTACAATACACAGCTGTCTCTTTAATCTATTATAATTCAAGAATCCAATCTTCTCAGATCATTGCTAAAAATAATTTTTTCCCACAACGTCCATTGTAGAGAATTTTCTCATGGGGAATTATTTTGATTTGTAAAGGAAATATGCACATGGTCTTACAGGAGAACAAATAGGATCACAAATATTCTTAGGCAATTAGTTTCTTCCTTCTGGATTGCCCATCTGTACTATTTACATTTCTAAATCTGGTTATACATGCTTGTTTCAGCTGTGTCCAGAAAACTTTGGAACATTTTCAAACATTTTATTTCACTTTGATGGATTAAACACTGTAATCCATCTTTATCATAATTTGCATTATTTTCTCCTATTATGTCAAACAATTTTTTGATAATAAACTTTATCAAGAGGTATATGAGAACACAGGAAAAACAATAAGGTCAATAGTCATGGCCAGAAATTATTCAATGGTATGAACATCAGTGGAATGGGCAAAGTTTGAGAAATTAACCTTAAGAATACCCCTCTTCCATTAGAGAAAACAAATCAGAAGCAGCAAAATTCCAAAACTCTATTTCACCTAACCCATTATCTACTACAGTGACAGGCACATTTCCCCTTAAAATGCTTACTCACCAGGAAATATGGCCATTGCCAGTAAGCAAAGAAACTTTAAGTTGCTAGGATGATGGACCTGAATTACAGACAAACGTTGAAACACTTTATGTCCCTAAACCCAACTAAATTCCCTTGTGTATAAGAACAGGCTACTAACCACCAAGTCATTGTTGCTCCAGTCCACAGGAAAGGAAGACTCCTGGACTTTGTGATGCAGTCTAGCTATCTGAAAAATATTTGATCCTGGTTTTCCATTGTTCAGGATTGGCTCCACATATTTCCAGAATGTTTCTAGGTCTTTATCTGCCTTTTGCTTCTTTTTGTTTTCAGATTCTACAATTTGAATTGCATCAGAAATAGATTAATGTGCTATATTTGTATGACCATGGCTAAAATGAAATATACTTTGGTAAAAAAGAAATGAGGATTTATTCACTCCTGCTACTAATTTAAGATTCATCTCCTATTAACATTAAACTCAGTTTTTTAAAAAATTGTCTTAAACCATTTAATTATAATAGAAAGATGATATAAAGAAAGATGAACCACTAGAATGCACTCACCTGGAGTACTGCAGTACTTTTTTTTTTTAGTGGCACATAAACTTTCAAAATGTATGCATGGAAACCCAGCTTTATTCCATCCAATGAATCAATAGAACATCAGTGTCATCCTGTATTTCACCTCACTACTAGCGCTACTGACTACAATGCATACTGTGAAAATTATTTTAAGAAGAGAAAGAAAAATGTAACTGAGATGCTGGCAAAAGAAAGAAAAAGCCACAAAGTTTTGGGGGGGGACCCCCAATGTTTTGAGATGCCAGGGATTAGCCAGTGTCCCTAAAGAACCTTCATATGTATTAAGAACATCTTGATATCTTATCTACTGTGTGTCAGACTTTCTGGGTGATTCCTGTATTTCTTATTTGCCAGCCTGGCTGGGTGGAATGTAAAAAAAGGTATAAATATAAGAATCTCTGTGTGTTCAGGGCTTCCTCTCTGTTAGAGGGGCCCATCTTTGTTCAGCTGAATAAACACGTAATCTAAAAGGCAATCTCTGGTTCTTTTGTGTATTTTTACCAAGCCATATCTCAAATTCAACAGTATCTCATGATTATGATCTATGACTTATCACTTTGTTGTTTGTAGGTATACAGAGAGCTTATGCACCAGAGACAAATTCCTTGTGTGTCCAATCACACTTGGCCAATAAAGAATATTCCAATTAAAGAACATCACCAACACTTTGAATTGAGTCTGGGGGAAAAAACTGATAAAAAGTGTAAATCATTCAGGAGACCTTACTTGAATAACTTGACTATATTTCTGTTATTTTATCAATGGATGAGGAGTTAGTATGATCCTTCACTATTTTTTAAGACATGACTAATGCCTATTCTTTGCTCTCTTTAGGACATGCTTCTATCACTAAATTCTATTTATTTGTCATTCCCAAGAAAACAGACCCCAAAAATAAGATAAAGATTTAAATCTATAGAAAGATCAATAATAAGTATATATCTTTTAAAAATTATAAATACTTTACTTCAAAAATATAAATGTTTGTAATAATTAGTAGCCTACCTTCTGATGCAAGAGATGGTTCTTCCTGCAAAGTAGTTGTTTCTAAATAGGTCTGGAGTGGCTCATAATTGTCGGAAGAAATCTGAATGATGCTTCCAATATTGATGCCCAGATCAGACAGTATAGGTAAAAGTTGAGGATTGTAAAAACCAGTAATTATGAAATAATACTGAGAGCCATCATCTGGTTCATCATCTGTTTGAAACATCACATAGGACCCCATGCTTTAATTAAGATATATGGTTGGGATAATATCTGAATTGGCATCTTCAGTTGATGGTCAGGTACATGTGTGTACATGTATACATACATACACATACATGTACATATACAAACAGTATATATTCATATAGTGCATACATTTATTTTTTTATATGATCATCCATCATATGTATGAGCCTTGGTGGCACAGCAGACTAAAGTGCTGTTAAATAGCACCAGCTGCCTGCAATTACTGCAACTTCAAATCTCACCAGGCTCAAGGTTGACTCAGCCTTCCATCCTTTCAAGGTAGGTAAAATGAGGACCCGGATTGTGGGGGCAATAAGCTGACTTTGTATTAAAAAGAACACCGCTTTGGGGGGGGGGGCGAAAGCCCTACTAAGCAGATATATACAAACGTATGAAGGCTATTGCTTAACGCATTGTAAGCTGCCCTGAATCTCCGGAGAAGGGCGGCATATAAATCAAATCAATAAGTAAGTAAGTAAGTAAGTAAGTAAGTAAGTAAGTAAGTAAGTAAGTAAGTAAATAAGTAAGTAAGTAAGTAAGTAAGTAAGTAAGTAAGTAAGTAAGTAAGACTTGGGGCAGCTACCAATTTAAAACACACAAAATCCAAATAAAAGAAATAATCAAAATTGTAAATAACATATAGAGAGTAAAATAGTAACTCACAACATCCTCCACTCAATAAAACTAGGAAATGGGCTCACCATACTATCAGGCCCCAGGATTGATGGTAAAACCAGGTTTTTAATGCCATGCAAAAGGCCAGCAAGCAGGGGCAAGTCTGAACTCTGAGAAGAGGACATTCAGGAGGCTTGCTGCCACTAATTGTATGTCACAAAAGAATGGCTAGATTTTTATTACAAATCATAAGAAGGTTAGAAGGTAGCATTTCATACCTGTACAATTGTTTCATTTACATTCATTCACATTTTTCTTTCATTTATAATAAATACCAGATATTACCTGGTAACATATTCAACTGAAATGACTGATATTATTGTTCAATAATCATATAAAAAATTTTATCACTCTAGTTGCTATATGGTTAGGGCACTTCTCACTAACTCTCAAAAATAGAAACAGCCATGGTTAAAAACTGAAAAGAAAGTAGAATGGAGACTTAAGTTCAATAAACTAATTTAAGAATTCATAACTCAAATTACTGAGACAGTAGAACAGCTTGCTGGGAATTTTTATTACAATGCAATGCTTGGTGTCCCCCAAAATGTGGCACAAAAAGCTATGGCTATGTCTTTGTTGGCTTGCAAACATATTTACATTATACCCAGTGGAAGGTAATATAAAGAAGTTTTATTTGGATATGGATGTAACAGCTCAGTAAAGACATGAAATCATTTTTGGTTTATACATATTACTCAAAACCAAATCACACTGACTTCAATGGGGCTAACTCCAAATTAAGGAGTGAATAAAATTGCAAGCTTAGGATATTTTTCAATTCACTGAATATTCACATATTCAGAAATTTCATGATCAAGAGCTGTATCTACCATGAACGTACTTCTTGGACTTTATGAAATAATCTTAAAATGTCACCTTTGAGCATATGCTGTCATTTACTGATTTAGCTGAAACATCAACAGCACAACCAGCTATTTATGAGAGAAAAAGTTATATAATATTTGCAAGCTTTGCTGGGATCTCTGTATCTTAGATAAGATAGAAAAGATTTTACCAAGTGGAACTCAGTTGTTCTACCTGATAATTGCCCAATTTGCACATTTGGAGATTTTTTCACTCAGTGTAAAAATGCAAACGAGTATAAACATGGTTATTTACTAATCACCTTTCCTTCCACACACAAAGACCTTTTTTCTCTCAACTTTAAACACCTTGCCTAATGGACAATTCAAAGTAATTTAAAGACTTGCAACTATTTTAAGACTTGTGAGTTTTGTATAATATATGAAACAATCTGAAAGAAGCCTGGAATGTAAAGATTTGCTTTTAGGAGGGGATACAATAATGCACTTTTTACCTACCAATGAATTTATCAAGTTCATCTTCTTCCCCACGTCTTTTAAGTTTGGTATCCTTTTTAACAATCGTTGCTGATATATTTGGTGAATCAGTTGACCGCTTTCCTTTGCCTCCTTTTCCAGCCTTGGCACTGACAGGCTTCTCTTTCTCCTTCTCCTTCTTAGCTTTTCCTTTTCCTTTTCCCTTCTCTTCTTTCTCCTTGTCTCGCTCTTCTAGTGCCTGTTAAATTAGAGAAATTGCATCACTATGCTCCTGTAAATGTTAATAAGTTGTTATAAAAATTTAATCCATGTATCAGCATTTTTTAAAAAAAGAAATCAAAGCCATATCTCAATTACAGCCCTTTCTTACAGTCACAGAGAGACAAATTACTATATGGAATCATAGAGGATGCTTATACCGAAAAAGTAATTTTACCATCTGTATCTCAAAAGAAATGAAAAATTAAAACCATTATGAAGAAAATGAGTAATGTTTGAGATCTTGCTCACTGTCACTGAGAATATTCTTCCTACAGAATACTGAAATATACTTTCCTTGGCAGTTGACTCATTTGTTGGAATGTTATGGAAAATGTTTACTATTGAATACACACACACACACACACAGTTGGAAACCACTATGTGTTCCTTTTTCTCTTAATATTCATTTCACAAGTTTCACAAATTTAACAGTTCTCCACCCGCTCTGACAAATTTAAATATTTTTTACTTTTCATTCCCATAATAAATATTAGCTCAAATATTAAATATCACTTGAGCATAACTCCAGCTAGTATATAATATCAATTTTATTATTAAGATGCCTATGTAGGTTTTATTTCTAACACATTTTATTGCAAAATTGAAAAAGGACCAATTGTTGCAGAAAAAAACCAAAGATATATTTAAAAATATACTTTAAATGCACACATACTTTAAAAGTACATGCATACGCCAAAAATAATTTCCAGTTCTCTATTTCTTCAGATAAGAAGATACCATGGCACTGGAAGGAAGTCACAAGTTCATTTAGTTCAGTATTTCATGATCTGATATATTCAGATGTGTTGGTGATAAACAGGAAGTTCAGGAAGCAGGATTTCAGTTGAAATGTCTTGTTTCAGTTCTACACCGCTTTTATTGGCCTTATGTGCTCATGTGGTTGGTGAGTCGTGTGACTGGCTGATTATGCCATGTGACCTGTCGTGTGACTAGTTGGTCGTTATGTGTGAAGATCATCAAGTGAAGAGGTGGTTGGTGCCTTCGTTGGTTGGCTGCTTGATTGATACGGCTGCTTATGGGTTCGTAGTATCCTCCAAATCGACATGTTTGTTGATAGATCCATTGGTTGAAATATCAGGCTTCAATGAATTCACGTGCATGGCATGTGGTGGCATGGCCAATGATTTTTGTTCCATCCCAGTTGAGCTAGTGCTGCTCGGTGTAAATATGGGTCAAGATCAGGGATTTGTGGTCATGTCAGTTGAGTCGGTGTTCATAGATTCTTATTTTCAGTTGTCATCCTTTTTGCCCAGCATAGAATTGGATACAATTGTTGCACTTCTCCTCCTGTATTTTGTCCTTAGTTTTAGAAAGTTCGTCAGTGAGTTGATGTAGGTTTGTGAGCCACCATTTCCACTTTTGCCATCACTGAATGCTCCAAGCTGGAAGAAGCACACCACCTACTCAGTAACATATTCACAGGCATCAAAGCCACACACAAAGAAGAAAAGGATCAACAACTTTCATTCCTTGATGCTGACATAAGAAGACAGGACAGTGGTGAACTAGAAACCTGCATTTGCCGAAAATCAACTCACACAGATCAAATTCTCAACTTTGCCAGCAGCCGCCTCCCACCGCACAAAAGAAGAGCTGCATTCATAATCTCTTCAAAAGAGCCAGGACACACTACTGCACCGAGACACTAAAAAAAGCAGAAGAAAAACACCTTTTCGAAGTCTTTCTCCACAACGGCTACCCAAGAAACTTCATACTCGGATGCACATCACCCAAACCCCACCGCACCACAAAGCCAACCACAACATAGAAACAAAATTACCAAACGTCAGAGGAGAATCAGAAATGATGGCCAGAATTCTACAACCACTGGGAATAATGGTAGCTCACAAACCCATCTCAATGCTCTAATTGATACAAGGAGCTGTATCAATCCAACAACCAACCAATGACGGTATCAACCACCTCTTCACTTGGTGGCCTTCACATATAATGACCAGCCAGTCACACAACAGGTCATATGGCATGACTACATGATCACATGAGATCAATAAAAGTGGTGAAGAACTGAAACAAGACACTTCAAGTGAAATCTCACTGAGGAAGTTACCTAGCTTGGTGCTGAAACATTTGGAAGCTAAACAGCAAGCTCAGAGAACAAACCACCCAACAATAACTACCACCCAAGTTACAAATATTTTCCATCAGTTCTAATATGCAAATGTGTTTGCTACCAGATTGCTCTGATGTTTTGCTATCAGAAATAAATTGGCTTTGCGCACACCACTGCTGCCAAATCCTGTCGTTTATTGATCTTGGCGATTTATTTGAGTTTTTTAAAAGGCTCTGTGACCAACTCATTGTAACTTTTAATCAATTCAAAGAATTAATGTATATCATACAAGCAGGAAATTTCCAGCAATGCAGGGCTACACTAAGCTTAAAGCTTTATATATGAGGAACAATAAGAAAAAAAGCATTGCAAAAAAGATTCTTTTCTCCCCAAAACTGTTTTTCTTCTGTCCCAATAAGAGTCTAAACTGATACATGTCTATTCAGAAGTAAGGGATAAAGAACCCAGTAAGATTTATTCCCAGGTAGGTATTTATAGGCTGGAAACTAAGCTACCTTCTTTTCAGCAATCCTTCTCTGAAGATCTTTTTGTTTGATGCAAAGCATTTGATATTTAATTAATTTTCCAATCAAAGTTACAGGAAGTGTTTCCCCAGAATCCAGAATGCTTTTTGCCATTTCTATCACCTGCAAAGAGGAACAAATAATAACAGTTTAAGAATTTGTTTCAGTGCAAACAAAATGCAACATCAAAATGACAGTACCACCAAAGAGGTTTGGCATCATCCAAATCCCTTCCATGTATGCAGCTGGGGTGAAAACTAGTTTTAATACAACTGAAAAGATGCCCGACAAACTGTGACAAGAATTTAAATTGACTATCATTGAAACAGCAATTGAACACACACACATACAAGAAGCCAGAGAAAAAGCACACATGGCTCTCAGATAAATCCATTAGGACAGCTGAGTGAAGAAAAGCAGCCAAAGCAGCAGGCAAACAGGAAAAAGCAATGAGATGAAATGCAGAGTAGGAAGGAAAGACAACAAAGTTTACTGAGACCAGCACGGCAAGCAGCTAGAAGAGGACTGCATGAAGGGCCACACTAGGAATGCATTTGCACAAGTCAAAAGGATTCTAACACCATTTACTGCTCATCAAAAACAAGCAAGGGAAACAACTATCTGATCAACAAAGGGTCAAGGACAAATGGCAAAAATATACAGAACAGCTGTATACCGGCAATAAAGAAATAGAAATAGAAAACCCTTCAAGTTGTGTGGGCAATGAGCCAACTGCCAAACAAGGCCCCAGGTGTTGATACCATCCTGCAATTGCTCAACCTTATGACATCCACAACCATCACAAATGTCTGCCAAAAATGTGGGAAACAAACACATGGCTACAGGAATGTATATGTTCATTGTATTGCTAAAAAAGGGCAACTCCAAGGATTGCTCCAATTACTGTGCTATTGCCTTCATCCCTTACACTAACAAGATTCTCCTTAAGATCATACAACAATGTCAACCATCAAAAGGGAATTACCAGATGTTCAAGCAGGCCTCAGAAGGCACCATGGTCCTAGTGGCCACATTGCAAATCTATGCTGGATCATGGAAAAATCTTAAGAACATTGAAAGTGCATCTGCTTTATTGACTACAATTAAGTCTTCTATTGTGTCAATTATGGCAAGCTGTGGAGAGCCCTATAGAAGACCTAGGGGTGCAAACACATCTGGTCAAGTTGGTGCAGTTGCTCTACAACATGATATGGAGACACTGATTGGTTCAAGATAGAGAAAAAAATGTGGCAACATTTCATTCTTTCATGTTAAACAACCTACATGTCAAAGTGATCATGAGGAAACAAGAATCTGAAAAATCATAAATTGGAGTAAAAATTGGAGGATAGAAACCAAAGGCCTGAAACATCTGATCAAAAGAATAAAAAAAGCAATAAATATGCCCTCTTCCTGAACATCAGAACAACAACAACAACAGCAACAACAAGCTCATGATCACTGTGAGGAATGGAAATGTCAAAATAACAATTGACAATAAAGAGATAGAACGTGTGCAAGAATTCACTTTCCTAAGATCATAGATTGATCAAAGCAGTGAATGCAGTCCAGAAATGAAATATCAAATCACACTGAGTTGCATTGCAATGATGAGCATGAATCGCATATGGAAAAGAATGATATTAGTCTCATAAACAAATGCAGATTAGTATCTTACAATACTAGACAATACACTATCAACAGTAGAGACCTTCAAATTTCTAGGTTCTACTATAGCTCAAGAGCTAAAATGTACATCTAACATCAAAAACGTCATCAAAAAAGCACAAGGAATGTTCTTTCTGTGCCAACTCAGAAAGCTCAAACTGCCCAAGGAGCTGCTGATACAGTTCTACAGATGAATTATTGAGTCTGTCATCTGCACCTCTATAACTGTCTGGTTTGGTTCTGCAACCCAACAAGACAGACTCAGACTTCAGAGGATAATTAGAACTGCAGAAAAAACAATTGCTACCAACCTGCCTTCCACTGAGGACTTGTATACTTCACGAGTCAAAAAGAGGGCTGTGAAAATATTTACAGACCTCTCGCATCTTGGACATAAACTGCTTCAACTCCTACCCTCAAAATGACGCTATAGACCACTGCACACCAGAACAACTAGACACAAGAACAGTTTTTTCCTGAACGCCATCACTCTGCTAAACAAATAATTCCCTCAACACTGTCAAACTAGTTACTAAGTCTGCACTACTATTAATCTTCTCATCGTTCCCTTCACCCATCTCCTTCCACTTATGACTGTATGACTGTAACTTTGTTCCTTGTATCCTTACAATTTATATTGACTGTTTCCTAATATGATTTGATTGCTTATTTGTACCCTATGACTATCATTAAGTGTTGTACCTTATGATTCTTGCTGAACGTATCTTTTCTTTTAGGTACACTGAGAGCATATGCACCAAGACAAATTCCTTGCGTGTCCAATCACACTTGGTCAATAAAAAAATCTGTTGTATTCTATTCATTACTGTATTTCCCATAGCTATCCATGGTTGAAAAGAAAGAAGAAAGGAGGAAAATTGAGTTGCTCAAGCTGTGGCGCTGGAGAAGACTCCTACATATTTTTTGTACAACAAAGATGATAAACAAGCAAGTACTGGACCTATAAAACCAGAAATATTGCATTCACAAAACTCTGCCTTATTTGTTTCAGCCAGGTCATGCAATCAAACTCACTAGAAAAGGCAGTTATGCTCAGAATGGTCTGTGGTAAAATGCAACAAGGCCCCTAAAAAACATGGTAGATAGACATTACCAAAGTTGATAATGTCAACCAGAGCATTAAACAACTGAAAGAAGCCATACAAGTTTGGAAAATATGGGAAGAACTGTCCATAGAATTGCTGAGTTCTGGACAGATTTTGAAAGGATAAAACTCCGTCACAGTACAATCAAGGATTTAACAAGAACAGATTATAGCATATTCTCAGTTTCTAACAACTTGTGGTCAGGGATCTTGTAGCTCACTCAGAAACCCAACCAATAGGCCTCATCCTTTTCAATATACTGTTCATCCAATTGTACATATATCTTTATTCCTCTAATTTGAAAAAGAATACATTTCTGTACATCTGAAGTGTTAATTCCTCCCAATTCAAAGTTTGCTGTGCTGTGTCACAGTAACTGGAGGGGGGGGGAATGGGATGGGCAAATAATGCCCAGAATTTATGCCAACCACAGGGTCAACCAAGGCACTTTAGCTGTTCTGCTAAAGCAAGCAGACCTCTGTATTGGGCAGCAGCAATAAAGAAGATGTTGTGGGATTTGGGAATGAATGATCCCTTTAATGACAATGGCAAAGGCATCATTTCACACTGCATGGGAGAAGGAAGGCAAAAGTATTTTACCTTTGGTATTTTACCAAGAAAACCACATGGAAAGAGGATAGAAATGATTAACCTCATAGTATCAAATGATGGGCCCTTCAGGATGGATGATAATTAAAATGAGGAAGAGCTAAGGATCTTTCATAGTACTAATGTTGTTTAAGATATGGCTAGATTAAAGCCTTGGTTGCTGATATTGCAAGAAAAGAAAATCCAAAGCTGTAAAGAAATAATTACAGTGGGTAGATGAGATATTAAAAGCAGGCACACATAAAAGCTCTACACAGTGAAAAATGGAATGACCGATTATACACTTATATTTTAGGCATCAGTAAATTGAAATGGGCAGGAACTGGACACTTTTACTCAGAAGATCATACTGTTGTTTTTTCTCAAAGCATACAGCAAGAACAATACTTGGAATAAGCAATGATTGAATAATATCAATTAAGCTTAAACAGACAATTCTTTAATATAAAATTGTCCAGGTTGATACTTCAACCATTGATGCAATTGGAAATATTAAAAAGAAAATGTAGTTGCATAGTATGGCTTAGAGAAATCAAAATGAAGAATGACGTAACAATTTCTGTCAATTCCTTCCTTACTAAAATAGTCTTATAACAACCAAAATAACATCTATTGTATATACATACTTAGATGTCTCCAAGTGAAATATACAGAAATCAAAATGATTATTGATACAAGCAGATAGAAGAACACAGGTATAGCAGACATATACAGCAGCTGACTCAGGTACAGATTATGCTCATGTATAAGGTTCCAAGTTAAGGTAATATGGAAAAAGAAAGTCAACCAGTTTCCACAATACAGTCTTGACATCCACCATTTTCAAAGAACATGAGGAATCATTTTGCAGTCATAAACTTCATCAATAACTGGACGAACTATGGAATTTATTTATATGATTTATACAGCCATCTATCTCACACAAGTGACTATGTATGGCAAACACAGAGAGAGAGAGAGAGAGACATCTCATGACATATAGCCTCCGATGCCCAAGGTTCAAAGAAATCAAAGAATGTGTTAAAGATGAATGTGAAAAGAGACAGACGAAGATGAAGAAAAGAAGAAAGCAAAAAGAATGTCAGAACATTGGAAATTTCTAAAAAGAGCCAAAACTAAACAAGAGAAATATCTCAGGAAAGAATTTAATGAAGAATTTCAGAGAGCTGTTAGAAGAGACATGAAGCAATCTAATGATTTCTATAAAGACAGTGAAAATGGAAACAGACACGAAAAACAAAGCAAGTCTTCCAAAAGATCTGAGAGAGTGACCAGGTCAGATATTGGATCTGGCTTTTGTATTAGGGCAGTGGTGATACCATCTTGATATGGAGGAAATTAATATCAGTCCCTTGTCACAGTCAGATCACTTTCTGAATGCCAGGGAATTCTTCATGGCCACAAATGCCCTATCGCAGGGAAGTTGGGCTATTCAATCAGTTCACTCCAGGCATCTCTTTGATTCTATTATAGAAAAAGCTTGATTTTCCCTCCCAAAGGCTTGTCACAAGGCATGATCATACAGTGATAATTGCTGGATGATCTATATGGACTAGGGGTTAGGTGCACTAACACTTTGATGTTTTTTTGTGTTCAAATTAGTAAATTAATATTTTCTAATCAGCTTACAAAACTGGGCAGATTAGATATATGAATGCCTAAACAAATAAAATATTAATTGTTAAGTAACTGGTTTTCAGCAATCACTTTAAAAACAGAAGTCAAAATATCAGATACGAGATTATTAATTTTTGAAATAAATCAGAAAAATTAATCCAACTAATAATAAAAATGCTTTGTCTTACTTCATAAAATAAAGGTGTTTCTTTGTCTTTGACCTTCTTTGCTTTTACATCTACAACTTCCATTATCTAGAAAGAAAAAGGGAGCGAATGTAACATAATGAACTTTCTGGTTTCACATGCTCATTTTTTTGCACATTCTGTAATTTATTCAAAAACTATTCAGTTATTTCCATTACCTAATGATTTGAAAAATGTATTTTGTAATGATGCTGCACATTCTGAAGCACTATTTTCAATGAACTACATAGTCTTAATGAAATTAAGATGAAATTCCACTTTCTTTTTCAAAAATACTTATTAGAAATTTTAACAATAGTAAAAAATAATATAAATTGAAATAAAAAAGAAAAAGTAAAAGTACTAAAAAAGGAGAAAAGAGAAAAAGACAGTATTTCAAATATTGTCAAATATTTCAAAACTGTTGTGTCTCTTGGTTCATTTCAAACTTTTGTGGACTGAATTCTTACCTAGTTTTTTTGTCATTTATATTTTATCTTTCAATCCTTATATTCTTAATTAATTTTTCCGTTCTCTCTGGAATGAAGGATCACTCAACAGGTAGTTTTTCAAATGTATTCCTTGGAAGAGCTCTTTTAACTTTAAAATATTATTCCAAAAGATTTTTTTTCAAAAGAAAATTCCATTTTTAAATGTGTTTTACCATATGCAGTGGGGACTGTTTGAGAAAGACTAGTCTATCAAAGAACGGGGATACAAAAATAATTGTTTCTTGATTCCTAGTCAGGGGTGAGTTCTACTTACCTTTACTACCAGTTTGCAACGGGATCGCCCGTGCGCCTTGCTTCTGCGCATGCGCAGATTGCCGATGATGACATCTGGGGTGGTGGGCAGGGCCTCCCGCCAGTTTTACTACCGGTTCTTGCAAACCGGTCCAAACCGGGGGAAACCCACTACTGTTCCTAGTCATAATCTTTTATGAATAATACTGAAGTTTGCAATACTATTCTCTAAGGTTCTTTTCACATATACAAAAAGAAAATCATGGTGTGCTTGATGTTTAAAATTACTCTGAACACTTTATCTCTGATATTAATACATTGTTGCCCTTAGCTCCTATCAATAGCAGAGAAAATTGATAGTAATGGAAACTATAGTGTAACAGCTGTTTTCAATATTCTTGAAAAATATAACTTTTTTGTTGTGCTGATAAAAATAAACATCTTTCAAAAGATGTTTGTAAGAAACCAAAGAGTACAAGGATTATATGTTTTTAAGAGACTGAGTTCAGGCTTGTCCTATATGCAATAACACATGTAAACTTTGTGAAGGCAGATGGATATATATTTGTGTGAAGGTATCTAGAAAGATATTGCCTTGCAGTTATATGATGTTATCAGCATTTGATGCAATACAATGAAACTGTACAAAATTATGTGATAAACACTTATGTCATCTTCAAATCTGATTTTTTTTCCTCCTATCATCAACTGCAAGCATAGAAGAGCCTCTTCTAGGGCCAATTCTCTTTGCTATATTCAGATCAAAATTATCTGGCAACAAATAGTGTTTCTCAGATATCACCCTGAATTATAAGTAAAACTGCACCCTACTTTTAGACTCCGCTCGAATATAATTGCTCCACAGTTATAATACAATATACCTGTGCTAATAATTCTTCCCAAGAAACCACACTGAAGAGTTTCCTTTGTGGCACCTGCACAGCCAGAGTTAGTGCCTTTATGTGAAGTTCATCCTCAAGTTTGCTCCCAACAACAAAGGCAGTACTGGGAATCCAATTTTCCTGATTCAAAACAAAAACAGCAATTAAACCATTAAAAGTGCTGATAACGAGTTATAAAGCCCTACGTGACATGAGATTGGGTTATTTTGAGGTCTTTCCCATCCCATCTATCTGATCCATCAAGTTCATCAGAAAGAACATATTGTGGGTCCTGTCCACAAATTAATGTCATGTCAATGGGCCCAAAAGGAAAACCCTTTTCTACCATGGCACCAGCCCTCTGGAACATAATTTCCTCAGATTCAGACTGTCCCTGACCTCAGTAGTCTTCCAGAAAGCCCTAAAGAACATGGCTTTATCATCTGGCCTGAGAATCCAGTAGTGGTGGTATGGACACTGCAAAATGACTGTACTGTTAAAGATACTGATTGTCCTTCGCTCAGATTATGTTTTTAATGGTTTCAATAATTTTAATGTTTAAATGGCGTTTTTGTTATTTTGTATTGTTTTTTGTGATTTTAATTCTGTAAGCCATTCACAGTCACATATGTAAGAGGGCAGCTACGTAAATTGAAAAGGAAGAAAAGAAAAGGAAGGAAGGAAGGAAGGAAGGAAGGAAGGAAGGAAGGAAGGAAGGAAGGAAGGAAGGAAGGAAGGAAGAAGAAGGAAGGATAAAGGCATCCCTTCTCTTTATTTTATTTTTCCATGCTCAGAAATTAAGTTTCTTTATATGCAATTGCCCTCTACCACTAGATGGCAATATTATACTATATACTAAATCTACCAGCTCTTCCTACTATTTATCCTAACCAAATATTATTCTATAATGTTATTCGGTAAGATACAGATATATTTGCCCAAATAAATAAAACAAATTTTAGATAAATGTGCCTGTAGAAGTTATAAACATTAATAATGTATATAATTGAGATCATAAGAGACTAAAGGACAAATGGAATACCAGCTATGAAATGATAAATCATTAAATAATGACTAGTGCATTGTTTCTTTTGTTTGATCTGAGTTATATTCTTTGTTTATAAGTATCTTTGCTTTTGCTATATCAGACACAGTGAACTTTGAATCTAAAATGCTATATATTAACAGCTGTAATTTTAATTATCTATACCAGTGATGGCTAACCTTTTTGCTGTCGCGTGCCAAAAGTGGGGGGAATGAGGGGGGTCACGCACGTGTGCCCACACCCATAATTCAATGTGCCCCGTCCCTCCATACTCCCCCTGCTTTTGGCATGTGATGGCACAGTGGGCCAGGTAGGCCCATTTTTCGCCCTTTCTTGGAGCCTTGGGAGGGCGAAAATGGCCTTCCCCACCCCCTGGAGGCCCTCTGGAGGCAGGAAATGGCCAGTTTCCCAACTTCCAGTGGGACTGGAAGGCCCGAAAATTAGCTGGCCAGTGCGCACATGCACGCTGGAGCTCAGCTAGGACAATGCTCGCATGCCCACAGATACGGCTCTGCATGCCACCTGTGGCACACGTGCCATAGGTTCGCCATCACGGATCTATACCATACACACAGGGGTGAAATCTACCTACCTTTCCTACCGGTTTGAAAGTGTGCGCGCTGCTGTGTCATCGTCATGTCTGATTTTTGACCCTCTGTGCATGCGCAGAAGGCTTTGTGCATGTGCAGAGGGTTAAAAACCAGGAAGTAATGATGTCAGGGCAGGTGGGCGAAGCCTCGCACTGCTGCCACCAATTTGCCAAACCACGCACCGCCGACACTATCAGCTCATGTGAGCCAGACAGAACCGGCAGGATTTCACCACTACATACACACATACTATATTATACTATACACACATACTATATTATTGTTAATTTGGTTTATTTCTTATTTTCCATAAACAAAATAATAAAGTTACCTGATTAGATGTACAACTCATTAAAATTGAACAGATATGTCTGAGTAATCTATTTCTATCTAATAATAAAACTGAATTACAGACTGGATTACAGACTGGATTACAGACTGGATTACATACTACATACTCAACGAATGGCTACATATGTTCTGTGACTCCTCTATATCATCTAAAAGTTGTATCTGTGGGACTCTCCTGGAGAAAGGATAGACCATACATTCTGGCCTCATAAATTTGACACACATGTATCAAAAAACAAATGTATAAGCACAAGATCAATAGTTACAGTTATTGGCTACAGTTATCGTTACAGTTATAGTTATTGTATACTTACAGTTACAGTTATAGTTATACTTATTGTATAGAAATGGGATCGATAGCATCACCACCAGATGACAAACCATACTCAACGAGTCATCCTTAATGGTACTATATCTACATGGAGGGAAGTAAGCAGTGGGGTACCACAAAGTTCTGTCTTAGGCCCAGTACTCTTCATAAATGAGAGAATAAAAGGGGAACTCATCAAATTTGCAGATGGCACTAAACAGGCAGGAATAGCCAACACCCAAAATGTTAAATTCAAGAACCAAATGGATCTCGACAGACTTGAACATTGGGCCCTATCTAACAAAATGAAATTCAACATAGAGAAAAGTAAAGTCTTACACTTAGGCAAGAAAAACCAAAAGTACGCATATAGACTGGGTGAAACCTGGCTTAATAGCAGTAACTGTGAGAGGGATCTTGGAGACCTAGTGGTCAATCAGTTAAATATGAATCAGCAGTGTGTGGCCACAGTCAAAAAAGCCAATGCAATCCTAAATTGCATTAACAAAGGGATTGAATCAAGATCATGTGAGGTAATAGTACTGCTCTATAAAGCCTTAGTAAGGTCACACTAGAATACTGCATCTAGTTTTGGTCTCCACACTACAAGAAAGATGTTGAGATTCTAGAAAGAGTACAGAGAAGAGCAATATGAGTTTCGTGGAGGCGAAAACATATGAAGAACTGTTATAAGAACCAGGCATGGACAGTCTAGTGAAGAGAAGAACCAGGGGTGACATGATAGCGGCATTCTAATATTTGAGGGGCTGTCACAGAGAAGAGGGGGACAACCTATTTTCCAAAGCACCTGAAGGCCAGACAAGGAACAATGGATGGAAACTGATCAAGGAGAGATTCAACCTAGAAATCAGGATAAGTTTTCTGCCATTGAGAATAGTTAACCAGCTTCATCACTGGAAGCTTTCAAGAAGAGACTGACAACCACTTGTCAGAAATGGTATAGGGACTCCTGCTTGAGCAGGGATTTGACTAGAAGACTTCCAAGGTCCTCCCCTCCCCTCCCCTCCTCTCTACAAAGAAAATGACCCAATACAATTAGTCCTCGACTTACAACCACAATTGAGCCCAAAATTTATGTTGTTAAATGACACATTCGTTAAGTGAATTTTGCCCCATTTTACAACCTTTCTTGCCCCAATTATTAAGTGAATCACTGAAGTTGTTAAGTTAGTGACATAGTTGTTAAGTGACTCTGGCTTGACTTTGCTTGTCAGAAGGTTGCAAAAAGTGATCACATGTCCCCAGGACACTGCAACCTCATAAATATGAACCAGTTGCCAAGCGCCTGAACTTTGATCATATGACCTCAGGGACACTACAAAGGTTCTAAGTGTGAAAAACGATCACGTGTCACTTTTTTCAAAGCTATTGTAACTTTGAACGGTCACTAAATGATCTGCTGTGAGTCGAGGACTACCTCTATAGTTACTTACAATGTTCATGTCCATAACCTCCCCCTCTCCTTTCAAAACACGTAAGCTATTAATGTACTCTAATATAGTGAACTAATTCTCTTTCATTTTGAGAACTGTCAGCCTATAACACAGGCTGAAGTACAATCCACGTATTATAAAAAAGGGAACTACATGGAAATTCTAATTAGCCCTTTAGGCTTGGAAGCTCAGCAAATCTGGGTCTGGTAAATTGACCAGTAGAAAATCTCAGGCTAGGAGATGAAGTGGAAAAAACATCCCCAAACAAGACAATGGCAAACTATTTCCTATTGACGCCAAGAAAAGTGCATAGTTGTATCCACCAGGACTTGGATTTGATTGAAGGAGATTTTTCTCTTAAGATACACCAGGTTCAAGGTGGCTTCATCTCCTGGTGCGGAGGGTTGTCTTGAGTTGCAATTTCTTGAGGGCAAAGCCACAAGCCACCTTAGGGACCATGCTGCCAAGCAGAGAAAGTCTCAAAGTATATCTGGTCCCAATCTGCGATGCACATAGATATAGGACTTCCTCCCCCCCCGCCCCCCCTTGCAAACACTGAGATCGACCACATCCCGTCAAACAGGTCCACCTCTTTTCCTGAGGCGAGGACCAACGTGTGCCTCCCTCCACTACTGCCAACGCACCTCTTCCAAGCGGACCGCCACAAGCCCCGCTTCCCAGTTCTTGACGCCTGCCCCTGGGGGACCAGAAGCCCCGCCGCCAGCCCCGCTCTTGGGTCGCTTGGGAGCCATCGGAAAGAGTGGGACAAGACCGGTTGCCTTGGCAATCGCCACCAGGCCGTCCTCCTGCGCATGCGCGGGAACGCGCCTCCGCGCGGCTTCGGTCGCCAAGGCAACCGAGAAGCCTAGCGTTCGAATATGGGCCTGTTGCCATGACCCGATAAGTCTGTCTGGAAGGGGTCTCCTATTAGCAGCCGACTATGGGCAACTATGGGCGATGGGCGACGCCTCAAGGCATGGATGCTAAAATAAGTACTGAAAATGAATCACCCCGAAGTCATGCATTATAAATATTAGGGGGGGGGGGAGGAGGGTTTACATTTTTTCTTTCTTTAGAATTACTACGTTCTAAGCTTCTTACAGATTCTTTTCACATTTTTAAGGGCTCCACTGCATAAATCCTCCAGCTCCCTTTGAGATTTTTGCAATTAAAAAAAAAAAAATATTTAACCATTTTTTTCCTTAAACTACATAGATACTTAATGAACAGCGTACTGTCATCAAATATTTATTTGATGTCAGATTTATTTTAATGGGATCTGTTCAGTGGTGGGATTCAGCCAGTTCGCACCACTTTGGGAGAACTGGTTGTTAACCTTCTGAGCAGTTTGGTGAACTGGTTGTTGGAAAAAAATCATTAGGGCAGAGAACCGATTGTTAAATTATTTGAATCCCACCATTGGATCTGTTCAAAGTGGGAGACACATCAAATCAGCATCTTCTGCCAGCTTGCATTTTTCTCTGGAACGGGCATGATTGGGTCAGTCAGTGAGTTCAGGAAACAATGTATGTCTGCTTGTGGCTTCTCAACTTTTTCCCAACTCTCCCACTTTTGGGGAGGGGGGATTTCGATGTATAGATAGTCCACGACTTACAACAGTTTGTTTAGTGACCGTTCAAACTTACAACAGTGCTGAAAAAAGTGACTTATGACCGTTTTTCACCCTTGCGACTGTTGTAGCACCCCTATGGTCACATGATCACACTGTCATATTTATGACAGTTGCAGCATCCCAGGGTCATGTAATCATCTATTGCAAATTTTCTGACAAGCAAAGTCAATGGGAAGCCAGATTCACTTAACAACTGTGTTATTATTTTAACAAAAGCAGTGATTCACTTAACTATGGCAAGAAAGGTCATAAAATGGGGCAAATTTCACTTAACAAATGTCTTGCTTAGCAACAGAAATTTTGGGCTCAGTTGTGGTCGTAATTCAAGGACTACCTGTATCTGGATTTTCAATTCCTTTAGCAAAACAAGTGTGGACAGAAAGTGCTTTTGATCCATTTATCACAAACATCCCCAAATTCTGTTGCCTGTATCTACAGTGATCATACGTTCTGTATTATAAAGACAAGTCCTTTATTTAAGAAAGCCTGTACTTTAGATTTATTTCTTGAGTTTGCTCTTAAATTTTCTTGTAAAGCAAATTTATAACGAAGTAACTTTTTATCCTTATCAGTCTCATTCAGATTTGCCTTTTTTCAGGCCTATCCTTTATTTTTTTCAAGCAAATATGGTCATTATATTCACATGGCCTCCTTAATTTGTCCTAACTTCATATGCATTACTGTACTGATCGACCTAACTTGTTGAAGGCCCTTCTGTTTCTTGGTGCTGCTAGGAAAATAAAGCATTATTATTAGTGACTTGAAACCACTTTTGCTGAAATAGAAAAAAAATGAACTGGTGGTTTCTGGATTTATTCAAAAGTGTAAATTATAGAAAGAAAGAAATTATACAGAGATAAGGTAAAATGTAAATGTACGTATAATTGCTGTTAGAAAAATTGGAAGCTACTTTTTGTTACTTTTTTCTTTCTTTACTTTTTCACTTTTTTGTTACTTTTCCCTATTCTTTTCCTCTTCAATTCAAAATCTCAATTGCTTTTATTCTGTTGAAATTTCTTTTAAAGGATGTTTCACCTGATCTATATTTTTCTGTATTACATGGGCCATAATGTGGATGATCTTGCATCCTTCTTTATTGCTTTCTGATACAGAAAACATGAGCCTATCAGTAACATTAAAATAAAATTCATCTGCCAATCTCAGAAGAAGTTCTGAATAGCTCATTCCTTTTCTGGTTTGTTTCAATGGAGCAGGAGAGTAGTAAGCAGCATATGAACAGAAGCCATCTATGTGGGAGGTTGCAGTGTCTAAGCGTATGACAAATCTTTTAATGTTTTTTTTCTTCCAAACCTCCAATTCTTTTGCAGACTCTAAACCAGTGGTCCCCAACCTTTTTATCGCCGCGGCCCGCTGAGCGCGCGCAGGGGTGGGGGCACGGCCCAGGAGCTTTTGCGCACGGCCCATTGCGCACGGCCCAGGAGCTTTTGCGCACGGCCCAGGAGCCTTTGCGCTGCAGCGTTCATGTCCCCCGGCCGCTGCGCGGCCCGGTGCCAGGTACTCCACGGCCCGGCACTGGTCCGCGGACCGGGGGTTGGGGACCACTGCTCTAAACAACAATCCAATCTGATGTTCTGTAAAAAAATAAAAAAAAGGTTCAATCCTTTCATGACTGAATGTAGCTTTAAAGAATTAAATTCTTACATCTATATAAAGTATATACATAGCTTTTTTTTAATCATTTCAAATTGTTTTAAGTTTAAATTGGTTTATCTTTGTTGATCATTATATCGCACAGGCATAGATTAAGATACAAAACAAGAAAGCTAATATAGGAAGTCTTTGATCTATGCGTGGTTGATTAGTAAAAGTTCCAAGTTACAATGGAAATCCCCAGAACTACTTATAGCCTCGATTTGAAGTTGGGCCCCACCTGCAGTCAGATGGTTGCATTTTTGACATTCAACAGCCATATTTATGGCCATTTGCAGCATCCAGCAGTCACATAATCGTGATTTACCATGCTGGAAACTGGCATTTACTTCTAACTTTCACCCTCAGAAAAAACCCATTGCAAACAATGCAATTGCTTACCAACCACAATGTTCACTTAATGACCTCTGCAAAAAAAGTCATTAAAGGTCAAGGTCTCACTTAATGACTGGCATGACTTTTGACCATAATTCTAGGTCAATTACAGTAATAAGTCGAGGACTACCTGAACAGAATAATTAGTTTGCTTCTATGGGAATACAAAAAAGACGCAGTCATGAGGATGTTTCATGAATATACCCTTTATATGATTGTGTTGAGTTTGAGATCATAAAAGACATCATCGCAATGCATTAGGCTGCCAGCTGCTAGGGATATTCTTTAGATTCACAAGAGGTCAACTGCGTTAAGCTATATTCAGAATAGGAAATTTATGAGTCACTCCACAAAAGGAAGCTGATTACAAAAAGGATAATATGCAATTGGGTATTGACTTAAAAAGTGATTCAAAAGAAGTGAGTACAGAAATCTCTGGCCCAATAAATATGAATTAGATTGTCATGGAAATGCTCTAGTACACATATTTGTTAATCAGAGGTTTGTGAATAACCTATAAGACATGCTATAGCAGGGGATTTTCTGTTCAGCAGTAACTTGGAACTCAAAAGCTTTTTATATTGTTGTTATGCCACCTGCAAAGTTGGGGTCACCCTGAATCAAATTATAGCAATATTTAATTGCGTATCTGCTGCATTTATTTAAAAAGAAAGCACAGATTTAGCTTTGAAGGCAGGCAAGGAAACAAAGGATAATTGTATGGAAATGTGAGTTTAGCATCTGGCCTCTTATTCACTCATCTTCTTTTCATATGAACTAGACAGATGCATAATTAAATACAGGTAGTCCTAGACTTACAACCGTTCATTTAGTGACTGTTTGAAGCTACAACAGCACTGAACAAAGTGACTTTTGACTGTTTTTCACATTTACGACCATTGCAGCATCTCCATGGTCACATGATCAAAATTCAGATGCTTGGCAACTGATTCATATTTATGATGGCTGTAGTGTTCTGGGGTCATGTGATCACCTCTTTGTGACGTTCTGACAAGCAAAGTCAATAGGGAAGCCAGATTTATTTCACAACCGTGTTACTAACTTAACAACTGCAGTGATTTACTTAATAACTGTGGCAAAAAATGTCGTAAAATGGGGCAAAATTCACTTCAGGACTGTGTTGTTTAACAATATAAATTTTGGACTCAGTTGTGGTCATAAGTCAAGGACTACCTGTAGATTTATTTGTTATGATTATATTATTTCAGTTTGCATATTTTGCATGATGTCTGCATATTTTTATCGATCTATTTAAATTTAGTGCCCCCTATCTCAAAATTGATTCCGGGTGGCTTACAACATAACAATAAGACAGAAAATATCTTGACTGTAATGTCACAGCCCTTTTTCTAAGGAATTCAGCACATTCTTCTATATTATAAAGTAAGGGTCAATCACCTTTCTCCAAACTTGAGTTGTTTCTTTATTGCATTACTCCAAAATCAATAGTTGGTTAGCTCTGAATATGAATGATGCAGTGTCTAGCAAAATTTTGTCTTAAAATACATTTAATAAATTACAGATTCAAATGGAATTTATGTGAAATCAGCATGCTAGAGCTTTTGGCTTGTGTTGGAAGAAAAATGAGCAAACTCAATTGACACTATAGTATCAGAGCATGACTTCAGTGTGCATGAATACGGCTCAGTGACTTGGAGGTCTGTGCAGGTGTGGGCAACAAGGCCTAAATTACATTTCAAATATTACCATATGTTCCCATGCTAGGACGAAAGGCAGAAAGAGAGAGAGAGAGAGAGAGTTGCTTTTTGAGAAAGAGTAGGAGAACAGCCAAGGTAAAGAATTCATTACGGGGGAGTCATGTTGTGATCTTACACTGGAAACAAGTGGTTTTCTGTGATTTAACATTCTGTGAAAATATTCCAAAATACATGGTTACCTCCAGCTCTACCCTGGCTCCATCTGACTGCTCAGGGCCAGGACTCTTTATTTAAATTTCAAGGATGCTTTGAAATGTTGCTTTTTGCTACATTATTAATTTAGCGTAACATATATACGAGGATATCACTGCTTTATATTTCAGACGAGGAATCATTCATCTGATCATTTGAGCTTTGCAAAGGCC